TTCATTTTTTTTTATGGTTTTGTAGAGCATTCAAGGCTGAATCTTTTGGTATAAAAGTCAGTCCGAAACTATGAAAGCTGAAAGGAATATTGAAGAAACATTGAGACCGCCATTTATGCTTATGCACTGGTTATGTTCGATTCATAAGAAAAAATATAACACAAGCCGGTCCGGGTGAACCGAAGAAATACGTGACCCGCCCGGACCGGCAGAAAATTTTCACTGGTCCGCCCGACCCGGTGAAAATTTACCAACGGTCCGGGTCGGTCCACCGGGTCGGGCGGCCCGTTGCGACCCCTGGCGTGTAGTTATGGTACCAAGAAATGATTGTATGCTAAATTTTAGCGATTTTTCTCTGAAATATATCCGCCACTCAATGCTTCATTAACGATATCATTTCTCGAAATTTCATGCATCCACCTTAGTGAAGAGCGAAAAAGATAAGCACATGATGTCTTTCTATGGATGACCAGTGACAAACACTCTAATGACTGACAAATATCGATAAAAGACATGTACAATATTTTCAACATTTTTAGTGGAATATACTTTTTCTCTATTTTTATGAGATCGACATCTTTTTTTTTCTTTTTTTGCTATTCGTTCTTTCGCTATTTTTTTACGTCTATTTTGACACATACTTGGTTGAACGAGTGAGTGAACAATTTCTGTATTAATATGCAGCGGTCATATTTTTCAACGTATATAATGAATATGTAATGAGAAACATTACCGAATGAAATATGGATTCTAATTTTTACTTATCTCTCGTCACGCCACATTTGGCGAGCATTTTTTGGTATTAATAAACGCTTTAATCAGCTACTTGCTTCTGATATCATTCGTCATACAATCGATTTGAAAGATATATCGCATGCTGAAATAATTGAATTATTTGACTACTCCAGCTATAATTCCCATTGTCAATGGCAAGCAGGACTCGTCTCTGCAGCTCATAGTATATGTGTTGCAAATAAATTGGATTATGATCTACTGTTCAATCGATGGATAATTAAAACGACAGACTGGCGTTTATTCTCTCTGCGAGTTATTTATGCGTTACCAAAAGCTGTTTCAAGCCTTTGGTCATTATTTTATGATGTTCAATTTCAAACATTTCTCGGATCACAACTTCATTGTCTTCATCTTGTTTTTGACGACCCATATGATAGTTATATGAACACATTAGCAGTCGTGATTCGACATCGTATTTCATATCCAACGATGATATTTGAAGTAAAAAAAGGTTCATACATAAGAAATATTATTAAATAAGTTCGAATTTGTTGTTTTATCTTTTCTGCGAACATGAAATTAAGTTAAAAGATATATAAGAAATGCTGACTGCTCTTTCGTAGCAACAGAAAGTGAGAACACAAGTAAACCTTTCAAATAAAACTTTAAAAAACGAGTAGTTATGCGCTCCATCATTAAAGAATAAAATTTGTATCGCTCTTAAAACTGAAATTTCGACATAACAAATCTTTATCTTCATAAACATTGATTTGTTTTTAGGGTATGAAAATCCATGTTGGGAATCCAGAAATGATCTGTGTGAAATAAATTATCAACTGTGTTGGATACACACTGTACGGTTGACTCTCAGTTTACAACATTCATCCGAACTTATTCTTCTCTTGATGCCTGAAGCTTTACCATTACTCGAACATCTAAATGTAACTATTGAACAATCACAAAAGAAGTCATCAGATGAACAAGGACAAAATCACCTACATGTCTTCAATTATGTGAGCAAGCTCTTCGTCGTACAAATGCTAATGGAACAAAATTTCGGCCACTTGTCTTACGTCAGATGGAACTCGATGATCTTTTGGTGTTACTGAATTCAATAACATTTTCTCTTCTTGAGAAACTCATATTGGTTGATATATATGATCAATGTAAGTGCAATCAATCATTTTCATTCTTTATTCTTGACTGTTTTAAAGAAGAATAGCTTAGTATTGAAAAGTTTGATTTGTGAATGAATTTCATGTAAAAACATATCAAAGCTTATGTTGCAACTTTTTATTTAGCTTTAGACAATTTGGCAGCTTTTCAACATTCGGTTAGCCCTCTAAATTTACCTGCTCTCAAACATGATCAATTTCAATATTTGCTTCGGTCTCCTGCCAAGTACGAGCGAGAATATATTCGTAGATTTCATAATAATGGATGGCCATTTGAGAATGCTAGTTTTCATGTTAATGAATATTTGGCATCGCTTCGTTATTACTATTCATCGATTGATATACAAGCTGTGCTTCTTGTCTACTCTGTGCCTTTTCCTTTATTGAAATAGATGCGTACCGTGCACAACTATGAACGTTTTATTCGTTACTCCGCTACAGTTATGAAGAACTTCGTTTGTCTGAATATGGAATGGCTATGGAAATGGACAAGCAACACAACACAATTAATTACAAGTCTTAAAGCACTAAGACAAGTTGAGACGCTTCATTGTGCATGTTTTGGAATAAATGTAAGTCATCATTGTCATATTTTTGAATATATGTTTACGTCAGAAACTGCATTGAATCATAATAAAACGTTTTCGTATCAATTAGCGTTGTCCAATATTTTGCTGAATGAGACACGTCGGTCCCATATGTACTGCAAAAACCCTAGAGTGACACTTTGAGCACAGTGGACAAAAATAGCCACTGCACACAGATCAGATTTAGATCTTTTATAATAACGTTAGTTTTGTATTTCAATGGGAACGAGGTTTTACAGCAAAGGTCATGCCCTGAGTGTCCTTTTTTGTTTACATGAGTAAATGATCTTTAAATGGATTCTGACTTGAATCGCATCAAATCGAAATTTTAAATTTTAAAAGAAAAGTTAAATCTATTAATGACAGGCATTTGTTTTTCAATTTAAGAATGAAGCAGAGATCGTCGCAAATCCAGAGCAATCCAATCCGTGCAGTCATCTTCGTTCATTGACATTTCGATTCAAACAATATCTTCCCTTGAACAGTTCAGAGTATCATTCACCACTGAAAATAATTCTAGCCGCATCAACTCATCTTTCTCATCTCCATGTGTCATGGCAAGGTTTTCGTCGCTGTTCTGGCAGTTATCCGATGATCACAGATATTAATCTCATTCTGAAAATAGGAGATCATGCATATTCTGATGTCAATCGCTTGAATATGCTCACACCTAAAGTGCGTTATCTCGCTATTGCCGGTCATCTGTTGATACGAGAAAAACATCTAATTGATTTTGTATTCTGATTGTTGGTCGATGATGCCCATTTTCGAGAATTAACACTATTACCAATAAATAAAGATGATGAAGTCAAACTTAAACCAAAGGTAAAAGCAGCTGTCAAAGAAGGAATTATAGCAAAAATTGATCGACTCCAAAATTCCACGATGACCCAAATTGAGTTTTCCTATCGTTGCAAGTTAACTATTTGGCTTCGATAAGAGAATTATGTATTTTTGTTATTTCGTTTTTCTTCGTGAATAATTAACTTGTTTAATGCTTTCAAATATATATATCCATTGAATTGTGTACAGGAAATTTTTTGTTCATTAAATTACGACTTCTAAATATGTTATAAATAAATTGCTCACATCTACAATGCATTCTCTTTTATAAAATATAAAATGCAGCAATGCAAAAAATTCATATTTGTCTGTTTGTGTAAGACACCTATATGAATTGTAAAACTCAACTATATAGAGAGTAAAATACTGAAAATCCTTGTCAAAGAATATATACTGTTGTTTATCTGTCAATTAATTTGAATGCATAATACTATATTCACACAGCAACTATCTTAAGAAAAGTTTCATGCGTTTGACAAATGGCGTCGCCATCTCTTTCTAATCAAAACATACACACCATTCATTAAAATGGACGATTATCGTCAACGAAAAGAACGATTTGTTAGTAATTTAAATGGAATCACACTGTTCGAAACAGGTTCTGTTATGGTCACCATATGTTCAACTTATTTCTTATGCCAAACATAGAAAAACCGTCATGGATGAATAACGTTGTTGAAAATGTTACCCTTGCCATACCAATCATATGTGTTTGCACATTTTTATCATCATTTAGTACCTGGTTTCATGTTATACTTTGGTTAATTAGTATTTTAATTTCTTTTTTAACAAAACCAACTTCATCTGTTTCACTTGTTCCATCAACTTCCTATTCTCGAAATATTTCGTGGTCAAATACTGATTGTAACATGTATATGTATACTTGCAGTTGATTTTTCGATATTCCCACGACGATACGCTAAAACAGAAAACTATGGTTATTCAGGAATGGATTTAGGTGTAGGTCTATTTGCAATATCACATGGAATGGTTAGTTCGAAAGCACGAAATAAACAAACCAATGTTAAAGAATTATTTCTTGAAAATATTATATTATTTATATTAGGATTTATTCGGTTAATAGTTGTTAAATATTTTTCCTATGTTGAACATGTTAGTGAATATGGAATACATTGGAATTTCTTTTTAACGTTATGTTTTATGAAATTAATAGGACATTGTTTATTGAAAATAACGAAAAATTAAATTTCTTTAATTGTTGTAGTGATGATTTTTCATGAATTTACTCTATTGAAATATTCTCAAGTTGATAATAATTTAATGTCATCGAATAATGCAAGAAAGAATTTTATCGATGCAAATCGTGAAGGAATATTTTCATTAGGGGGACATGTTTGCTTATATTGAATTGAAGTTTTTATTGGTAGAATTACTATTCATGGTGAATTGAAACGAGAGTTTAAACAAATGGGTTTACAATTGTTTTTAGAGATGGTTTTTCTATGTGTAATCAGTTTGAATTCATCCCGTAAATTATGTAATCTATCTTATGTTTCAAGTACGGCAGGTTTAGCTTGCGTGTCGTTGGCATGTTTTGGTATCATTCAATGGTTATTATTAAGACATGGATATTCAACGGAATCGATTTTACTTAAAACTATGAATCAAAAAGGTTTAGATGCATTTTTAATTGGAAATGTTTTAACAGGGATTATTAATTTAAATATCAATACAATTGACACATCAGATATTATAGCATTATTAATTATTTTTATTTATCTATTTCTTGTTACTTTATGTGCGTATTTTTTTCCATCCATCATTAAACTAGTTCTGAAACATTTAAAACTCACGAAATCTTAAATGTAGCTATGATAGATCTTTAATTATTAATAAATATGAAACTTAAAAGGTATAACTCATTTAATATTAATGTTCAAATGGATGAATTATGGTAAAAGCCATCTGATGTCTACATAGTGCTTACAGAGCTTGTTGATTATTTTAATACATTTGATTATATAGAGAGAGTCGTTGTTAGTAGAAAATGATTCGATTATGGAGGTACGATACTCAATATGATGTGATATATATATAGATTTGAACCGTAAATAGACTAAGTGTTTCATATAACTATCGGATGACAAAAGGAAACAGGTATATATTAACCTCTGAAGTAACGTTTAGAGATACACTCGCATCGTGAGAGGTGTTTCGTTTGTATTATTCTGCATTAGGCCAAAGTCCATGTTTGTACTGCTAGATATACATATGAAAGTTGAGGCAACGCTATCGTCCGGGTGAAAATTAAAGAAGAAAAGAAAAATATGCGCTTGCTAAATCTTGCATACGATACCTTTTTCTTCCTTTTCTTAACTACACGATGAATGGCGGTGCAACGATGAGCAATATCCATTGCCGCTATACTGCTCTATAATACAGAGAAAGAATAAATATATTTAAGTTGAAAACGTTCTGTAGTGAGATGAGTGTTTATCATCTTATTATTCTTTTTTTTATTCGTCTTTCGTCGTCCAACCAACGGTCGTGTTCACATACATTTGTTTTGATAGTGCATCGGATAGTATTCATTTCTGTGTGTATTTTTCTTCTGACAAAGTAGGAAAAAAAGAACATAGTAATTTAAAAGAGAAGAATATAAAGAACGCGAATACGAAAAGACTACTTATGCGCATACTAAGAACTATTACTCTATTTTATTTAAGCAGAAAATTTCTCAAACATTTATGAGAACACTTGCTTTTGTTTTAGTGCAACAGTTATTATTATACAATTCAATGGCATCAAACGTTATGATTGTTTTTTGTGTTGATAACACAACATCGATGGCGCTTAATGTTATTGAAGCTCGTGAAATGGTTATCAACACCTGCAAACAAGTTGAAAAGAACAGCAACATCTATATAAAAATTATTAAGCTTGAGTCAATGAAAACTCAATGGCTTCGAGTACATTGTGAATTTACCAATTCAATGTCAAAAATTGTTGAACAGCTGTTAAAATGTAATAAACCTGATTGTATATATCCAAGTAAAGGGATACCTATAGGTAAGAATAAGACTATGCAACTTTTCATGTCTCATTATAGAGGACTTTGAACTATAAAGGCAATAAATAGTTTACGTATTTTAAATGATGCTTGTGTCGCGATGAAGTTTACAGAATGAAATAATGTTCTATGTGACTCCTGAAATTGTGTTTTTCTGTATTTTACTATCGAAGTTTGTTCGCTCTGCTAACTTAAATAACACATCAGTGACCAAATTTCTGACTCATATATCGAATAAGAATTATTAAGAAAGATCCTGTCAGATATTTTTCAATTCACCATATAGTTAAATGAATATTTTTTTAAATTTAGGGGACCTATTACACGATGCTCTTAACGTCGATTGGCCTTTCAATGTACGTAATATTTTGGTGATTCTATAAGCCATTCTTTTGTTCTGCCTTTTTAGGATGACAATCAAATCATCAATAAAAAACTTGTTGTTTTAGTAACTGATGGTGTTCCAAACGGCCTTTTTACGCCATTGGATAGTATCGATCCTTGGGTAATGTCCCACGAATTTCACAAGAAGAACATAGTTTTGGCTGTTGTTGGTGTTGGGAATGGTAATTTTGAATGTGACGCTTTTTATCATGCATTGGCTAAAAATACCGGTAGGGATAGTTTCTTCTTTTACATAGAATCATTTTCAGTTGGTTGCAGGTGGTCTGTACATTCCTTTCGTTAATGCTGAACGTGTTCTTCAAGGTGTTATTGGAAAGGTTATTGTTAGGAAAGACACTTTCAGTGAAGCATTTCGTCTTGTCCCGAGTGAATATATTGAAATAGAGTTATATGAATATGAAGCAATCATTCAATGTGGCAACATTAATCAGATTAAAGAACTATTTCTTGAAGCCATTACCAAAGCTGACTATGATATTATTAAAATGATCAATGACACCAAATTCCGTTTCTAGCTGATCTCAAAAGCTCAAGATACTCAATTCTATTTTTTTTTCTTTTTAAATGTTCCTTCCCTGAAGTCAAACCTACCTCTTCTTTTTAGCATTTTTCTGTACTTATTCGAAAAAGACTGATCTATAGATAAGTATGAGTGATACGAGTTCTGAACAATCATCGATTTTTCTCAACAAAAAGTTGAATCTGTTTTTACCGAGTGAAACTATTTTTAGTTGTATGCATATGCATTGAGCGTATCTTCTGCTTTTTGTGACTGATATCTTCTGTTTTTTCGCATGCCTCAGGCATCTTACTGTTTCACGATATATCTGCAAGTCAAGTTTTGATTTTTATAGCACAGTTAGAAAATTTATTGTGCTCATTTTTCTCATAATGTTTTTTTCCTGACTGTTTAGAAATATAATTTCATTTTAATAAAATAGTGATGCAATCGTCCAATACATGATTTTCATTTAGTTCCTCTAATGAACAGAAGCTTTTTACATTTCCAATAATCCGTGATGTTAAGATAAAGTAAAAATTACTTCATTTTTTTACTCTTTTTCTAGGAGGGAAGATAAATAATATAAAATAAAATGATGATTGTAATTGATTTATATGGCGGAATTGAAGGTGCTTTTGCTTTGATTAGAATGTTGTCGAAGATTAAATCTTGTATATAACATAGAAATGATTCAGGAGTTATAGACATGAAATTTTGTAAGTACAGAAACTAAATGAACACTGTCTGAGAGTGTCTCGATTTTATATCAAGTCGTTTTGCTTTTCGTGCTGTATTGAATTTCAGTAATAAAATGCTAACGGAGATTTTTTAATTAAATTACTAGGTGGGAAGTAATAAATATACTAGTGATAAATTTTTAAATCTTAAAAAGGTGTGACTGAAGGAATAGACTTGAAAAGATTCTTCACTATTAATATTTCTCGAAATGAATATTTTTAGTCGTTTAATGATCATTTTGACAGATATTTATCACGAGTAGATGTTTGACATACTCAATATGATATTAGTATTATTTGCATAAGACAAAGAATATTAATTCATATAGAAAATGACACGTGGATCTAAAACGAATCAATACTGTCACGAGCCGGTAAACGATGTGACAAATACGAATATTCAGGTGAGGTCGTTATAGTACATTATGCTGAGTCTTTTGTATTCAAGGCAAATCGAGTATGTGTAGGATATCTGTACAACGAATAGGTATCGATTAACAAGGGAAAAAAATTGATTTTTGTTTGCATCAATTTCTCTATGAAGGCTACTGTTTTCAACATATGATTTATTTTATCTTCTATCGTGTTTTTTGACTAGCGTATAAAAGAACTGTCTGCACTGCTATATTTAGAAGATAAAGAACAAAGAGCTAATCGGGCGCTTCATCATCGTATGCTCTACGATCAAAAAAAATAGCCTTGATTAAAACACAGAGAAAGAACAAGAATATTTAATGCGAAAAATTATTCTAAATCGCAATTTAGTCGATTTGCTTTCATTCAAGCGCACCAGTTACTGTACAATTGAATCGATTCAACCGTTGAAATAGTTTTTTGTGCTGATAGCACACCATAATGATCAAGTCCGTCAAATGATAAAGAATCTCAATGCAGAATTATTTCAAAATTATCAAAATGTTCGTATAGGTATAAATTCAGCTTGACTCAACGAATATTCGATGGATTACAGTAACACGTGAAATTACTCATGAAATAGAAGTCCTTATAGAAATGACAGCATCTATACTGCACTCGATAGTGCCTCTTTGGGTGGAGGAAAACCTATAGGTACATATAAAAAAAAATTTAGTCTTTCACTCTAATTTTTATGCTTCAACTCATTTTTTACAATCTCTGACTTTAAACCAGAGAGAGGAATAAATTATTGAAAAGCAAACAAATTTTATTTACTTCTTCCTATAGTACGTGAAATAACCTATAGATGACTATGGTATCATTGCTCTGACGTAATGAAACGAAAGTAGAGTCGCAGTTTTTATTGGTCTATTTGAGTACTGCATTTTTCATAGTTTATTTACTATTCAAGCATGACATTGGTATTTTTATTTAGTACAAGAAATAATAAGCCTGACCTTTTCACAGTGTATATAGTGAATTAAAGGATTCAATCAATATTTTCCTTTTTTTTAATGATTTAAGGAGATATATTGTTCAGTGTTTGCGACGCAAATTGGCTTGATATAATGTATGTAAAAATTTAGTGACCATATTAAACATTGTTGTATTCTATTTTTCTAGGATGACCATGCAACCTTTACTGGAAAACTTTTTGTTTTAGTAACTGATGGTGCTCCAAATGGCCTTTTTACGCTACTGAATGGTAGAGATCCTGAGGGAATGTCCAATCAATTTTGTTAGAAGAATATAACTTTGGTTGTTGTTATTGCTGGACCCTGTGCTATTGCATGTGATGATTTTTATTGTGCATTAGCGAAAAATACCCGTTTGAATACGGGTGTGGTTTTCATGCAGAAGAATTTCTATTTGGTTGTGTTATTAGACGGGCTATTGATGATGAAACAACGTTCAATCAAGTATTTCGTTATGTTCCGACTTAAGAAATTGAAGCTGATTCATCATTTAATTGTTCAAATATGAGAGATCGAGTTCTTGACATGATCAATGAATACAACGACATGAATGATATTAGCGAATTCTATCGAAATAATATGTGATAGTAAATCTGTAATGAAAGTATTACTATGCTCATTTTACTGACACATACTTTTTCTCAATCATATTTGAGTACTATTTTTCCATTTTTGCTTGATCAAAGCCGTTTCTAAAGGATATATTTAATGTGACATTACCATGTGAAATCATTTTTTGTTGTAGATGGTGAAGAGTTCTGCGTGCATACATCTGCATTTCTTATAATTTCCCTGTGACTTGTTTGTTTTTCTTTAATTGTGTCAATTCTTTTAGTCATATGTCTCCGAGTTAAATTCTTATTCTTATAACGTTGTTTGAGAGCAGTTTAATCAGTAATCTTCATGATTATTCCAGTTTGAAGATGTATTTCGTTTTAGTATATCTGTCAGTGAAGTAGGTTTTTCTCAATAAACTCAATCAAAACAGAACTTCTTAAAAAAGTTTGAAGCCATGAATTCATTTCAATTTATATTCAAATATTGCTGTGATGAGACACTTCGATTTAAAATCAAATTGGAAGGTACACGGTCAATTTCGCAACGAATAGTTCGTATGATAACTATTTAACACAAAGGAACGTTTACTAATCGTCTATGATAGAAATCTGACCATGATTATTGATTCGCAAAGGTCTAATATAATTAGAGCTCTTATCCAAAGCACAAATTTAATCAGAAGTATTTTGATTCTCTATTCCATGGATTACCCAAAAGATTGAAGTCAAGATTGTCTTTTATGGAATTCAAGACCGTTATAAGAGAAAAGGATCATTCGTGGTAACTAAAAGTATCTCCTTATGTTTCAATTATATCCGTTAGAAGCATCATAATTATTGATGACTGATAGATTATTCAAACGAAATATTTTCATTTAATTGAAGTTTTTATTGGCAGAGTTATCATTTGTGATGATCAAAACGAAAATCTATACAAATAGATTTTAATTTTTTTTCAAGCGATGCTGTTTTATGCATTAGTTGGAATTGGTTTCGGAAATTGTGCAATCTATCTTGTGCTTGAAGTACGGCGGATTTAATTTGAATGTATATGACATTGTTTAGTATCTCTGAAATGCATTTTTTAATTGGCAATGTGTTAACAGGGATTATTAATTATTGTAATTTATCTATTTCTTGTTACTATATGTGCATATTTTTGTCCATCGATCATTAAATTCGTTCTGAAATATTTAAAACTCACGAAATCTTAAATGTAGCTGTGATAGATCTTTAAATATTAATAAATTTCAAACTTTAAAAAGGTATAACTAAGTCAATGTCATATACAGGGACTTATCGACTTCAGTTGTCTTTTGATATGTATAATTGTAAAGAAAGAATTGATGTTAGAAGAAAAAAACACAAGCATTTCTTGACTTCCGGAGAAAATAATTGTTGATACTAAAGTAACGTTCAAAGATACATTCATACTGTGATAAGTTGTAAATACAAGTTTGCATAATATACGATTTTGTATTAGATCAAAGTTCATTTTTTGTAATGACTAATAGAATAGATGAGAGCAGTTTGCGTAACGATGCGTTCTACTCGAAAATAAAAGAGAACAGAAAAATTGACTACTCTGCTAAATCTCGTATAGGGATATATTTTTCTTCCTTTTCTTAACTACATCGTGATTCATGAATGACGATTGCCGTGATGAGCCCCAACGTATTGCCACTGCTCTTTGGTAACAGAAAGGATAAAATAGTTGATACACATAGGTTCTGTAGTGAGATGAATGGTTGTCATCTTATTATTATGCTTCTGTTTTGTTTATCTTTTATCGTCTAACTCACAGTCATATTCGCACAGAATGAATAGTGTATAGGATAGTAAAAAGTGGCCTAGGTTGTAATTGTGCGTACATTTTTTTTTACAAAAGAACGTCTCACACATTGATAAAATCTTTTTTTCTTGTCTATACAACATTTACTTTTGTTTTAGTGCGACAATTATCATCATACAATCCAATGCCGTCAAACGTTATGATTGTTTTTTGTGTTGATAACACAACATTGATGGAGTCTAATGTTATTAAAGTTCATGAAATGATTTTAAACATTTCCAAAGAATTTAAAGACAAAAATAATCTCTATATATGTATTATTACGCTCGACGCAAGCAGTCGACAGTGGTTTCAATTGCAATCTGGATTTACTAATACAATGTCAGATGTTGAACGATTTTTAAGAAATAATAAGCCTGACAATATCTATTCAAGTGGGGGAATACCTGTAGGTAAGAATAAAACAGATTTCTTTCCAGTGATGACAATGCTTCAGTGTTTGAAGTCAAATGATTTCTTTTGAGAAAGATTTTGTCTACTTTCGGTTCACTATATAATGAAATGAATATTGTACTTGTTTTTCTAATTTAAGGGGACTTATTACACAATGCACTTTATGTCAATTGGCCGTTCAATGTACGTAAAACATTGAGGATTATATAAGATATTCTTTTGATCTGCTTTTTCAGGGCGATAATCAAACCTTTAATAAAAAACTTGTTGTTTTAATAACTGATGGCGTTCCGAATGGTCTTTTCTCCAAACTGGTTGGTGAAGATCCTTGGGCAAAGTCCAAGAAGTTTCGCGAGCATAAAATCACATTGGCTGTTGTTGGTGTTGGAAACGGTAATTTTGGATGTGACGTCTTCTATTCTGAATTAGCTAAAAATACCGGTAACAATAGTTATTTCTCTTGCATAAAAGAATTTACATTTTGTTGTAGGTGGCTTGTACATTCCATTCGTGAATGCTCAAGGGTGGGTGTGGGTGTGGGTGTCGGTGTGGGTGGGTGTGTGTGGGGTGTGGATGTGGGCGTGGGATGGATATGGAACTATACGCCACTCACACCCACCCCCTATAAAAGAAAGAAGTTGTTGCTATGTAAAAGTAAGAAAGGTCATCATTATTTCGCTAGTGGGACTCCGACATTGACTCAGAAAAGAATTTTTTTTATTCCTATTTTAATTCCGAAAAGGTTTTTTTGAAAACGTTGCAACTCGTCACGTGACGAGTTTTTTTTCCAGAAAACACAGGGCTTTCGTAACACCAAAAATAGCGATAGGATGTAGGTGTGGGTGTCGATGTGAGAGTGTCTTAATGAAAGATGTACACCCACACCCACACACCCAAATAGTAGCATAATAGGTAAAAATTCGTTGTGTAATAATCAAAAAGCCGAATTATCTGTGATTTCTTGGAATTATGTACATATTCATCATTGCAAGCCTTTCTTTCATCATTGAAAAAAACGTGAATTCATGTATATTCACTCGAGACAGAAACGAATAAGAAAATCTTGACTCGGCAATATCTTCGTTTGGATACAATTCGCCTCAGACGAATTCAATCGAACAAGATTATTTGACAATTCGATTTGGTTTTCGTCTCTAATACGTATCGGTTTTTGTATAAGTACTTCTCATGAGACTCAGAACGCACTTCTCTTCTCAATAAAACCTAAAGTCATTTTTAAAAGAAGGTCACGAAGAAAACACAAAATGTGTATTCAACTATTCTTTTTTTAGTAATTGCTTATTCTTAATACAAATGCATTCATTGAAGTTGGCTTGAGATCTAGAGTTATAAAAGAAAACATTTTTTTAAACGGCCGGTGATAGAATGCAGAGCTAGGGTGGTTGGGCTCAGCCAACCATGCCCTACCCTGGTTACGCCACTAATGTAAATAAATATTCATATGAAATTGACAAACATATGATTATGAAGTCGGTTCGATCATGGATTGCTCAATCCATTTGAACCAAAAAAATGTTTTTCTTTCCCTCATATTTATCCTACGGTATTGACCCGAACGAATGAGCTAATGAAATTTTTTTTCTTTCCTATGTCCATAACAGCAACGATCAATAATACGAGGATGAGGATCAGAATAAAAAGAAAAATATTTATTCTTTCCTTCATCTCTCTCTCGTCTCGATAGGGACTTATTCACTAATAGTTTTTTTCTCTTCTTGCACACATACCCATCGCTTTTGAGAATAAATAAAATGTAAACAGAATGATGTCGCTAACCTACTGACATTTGAAATTGATCAAAGTAACGCAAATATTAAGGAAATTCGTAAAGGAAATAAAAATCATTCAAAAATTGTTGCAGACGTAAAATATTATATAACAATTACTCTGATTCGTGCAAACATCAAAACTTCAACAAAATAGAAATCTAGGATTGAGGCCTGGATTTGCCCTTCCGGAGGGGGTCCGACTATGAAATTGACCCCTACAGAAGTCCTTTCAGTTGATCTCACACAGTTCTTCTCGAAAAGCTGTACGGGAGCGTTGAAAAAGCAAATAGAGTGAATCGCGACAGATTCTCCAGAGAAACCTAGGATTTTCAGCGTTGTTCAGCAAATTTCCAGGTGACGGAAAGATGCAAAAAAACTGAAAACTATCCAGGTCGAGCAATCCGACAGTAGACATTTATCGGAACCCATCCGATCCGACTGGAATCCAATAGGATTTTTCCAGGTTCCTATCGGTTCCGATGTCGGATCAGTCGACCTGGGTACTCCATTCGATAGAGCAAACCGAGCTCTATCTAGGATGAAGGCTTGAGAACTTGCTCTGATGAATTGGCGAATCGCCACAGTTTCTTCTGAAAATAATAAAAAATGTGGAAACTTCGGATTTCATCCGAGAGTTATGTGTACTGCAAAAAGTACATGGCACATATGAGTCATTCTAGAATGTCTGAACACCAAAATTATCATGAGAAACTATGCACTTTGGCTTCTGGACGCAGTTTTTGTGCATTTTGAGACGGTTTTCAGGCGATGTTTCGTTAGAAAGCTACGATTTAGTTCAAAACTAGTATCAGATTCGGAATCAGCGTTAAAAACTGAGTCGATTTATAAACGTATGTTGTGAATAATTCTGAGAAAAAATTTTTTTTTTCAAAAAATCCCTATAACCCCCTCAGGGATGGTCTGGTCAATAATGACAATTTTTTCGACAACTCAGCCATTTCTTGACAGATTGCTTTCATCTTCGAACTCGACTGAGATATTGATGAGATCATTCTGTGTACAAAATTTCATGACAATTGGATGAGGCTTTTGAAAAGTTATCGTGTTAACACCGGACGAACACTGACCGAATCTAGAGTGTAATCTTTTTTTTCGAGTACACAATAGGTTTTTTGTGGTCTTTTTTGCAGTATTTTTGGTTTTTATCTAGGATCGGTAGGTCTTGCAAAAAAAATAGTGCATTCGATAGAGCTCGTCGAGATCTATCTGGGCCCGATGTTTGCTCAATTTGATCTGATGAATTAGCGAATAGTTTTGGAAAATATGCGAATCCTGACCTAAGATATCCTACGTGCATTCCAATAGATGTGAACAAGTTTGAGACTGACATGTTATCTCTTGTCAGATTGGTAGTTGTAAAACGATTGGATCGTATCCTTAACATACAAACTTGACCAGCAGGGACGACACAGTTCGCGATTTTCGAACTTGTACTGGAATCGCCAATTGCTAGCGACCAGTCCTAAGTATGTTTCAATAACCAAGCTATAACACGTACGTTTGCCACCGAAAAACAATATAAAAGGCGTCGAAAATAGTACATCATGCGCGTTTATTGAAATTTACCTTTTTTCATCTTTCATGTGGCATGCATAGAAGCGAACACGTGGTGAATAATTCGAACGTCGATAAAAAAACAAGCATTTATCGCATTACTCACTTACCGATGGATTTTTCGTCGTTATATCCCAAATTCATGACGATTAGGTTTCATTACTGTAGCGCCTTTCTTGATAATCAATTCTCATTTTCGCATTCTAATCGAGATAACAATACTGAATTCATTCAATGTGATAAACCGCAGTAGTACACGAGTAAGAATAGGTTTTTTTTTAAATCTTGAGGGTGGGTGTGGGATTTAGTCTTGTCTTTATTCACACCCACACCCACACCCTCACCCAATGATTTCGATGAGTGCAAAATGATGTTTGGACCGATTTTCGGTTAATTAGTGTGACCAGTTACTACTCTTTAATGATGTTTAGAATTGTAATAATTGATGACAAAGTTAGTGTTGATGATCCGAAATGACATTCAGATGCATTTTCTATTAATTACCAATGATTTCGATGGGTGGAAAATGATGTCAGGGCGATGTTTTCAAGAAGTGAAATGCAAGAAGATGGCGCAGTGAACTGCTTGGTTTTGTGTTTAATGAATGCGATTTGTAGTAGGTTGGTTTCGGATTATTCTAAGTGTGGGCATTAGTGAGTCAGATGTTGTTGGTTTCGGGTTAGAATTTTTTTGGGTGATTGCTGTTGGGAAAAATGTTTGTTGTGGACCCGTTTGAGCGGTGAGGGTTTGGATTATGTTGTGGTTATTGATCAGGCGTTATGGTGTCGGTTGGTGTGCTTGTGTTTGAAGAGTATAGTTGATTCACGTTTTGATTCAAGAACGCTTGTATGAGAGATTTTTTATGAGGTCCTTGTCGTCGGAATTGGATGGAATCTGGTCAAATATGTGATGAAACTGGCATCATCCGGTAGTCCGAGTGGATCGGTTGCGAGAATGTTCGGTTGTATTATCCGGCAGGAAACGACCGGATCATTTTCCTTTGAATTCCGACGGGGTTTCTGGGAGCAAAGATTCCGGCGAAATCCCTGCCGGATCCTGGCAGATTATAGTGGGAATCATGCCGTCTTCTGGTGTTATCCGGTGCCGGTTCCGACGGATCCCGACTGAATCCGGAGGCAGGATGGAGTGACTTGGGAATAAAATCAGTCAAGTCACTTTTTCCAAATGTGCTTCACAGAGGTTATATCACATTTGATCCATAATCAACATAACTTTATGCTATTTATTTTTTAGGCTGCTTGTTCCACTTTGGTCAGTGTATTTGGCGTCACCTTCAAAGTCTTGGGTTACAAAAAAAATATCAAGAGGATAAGTATTTTCACTGGAATGTAAGAAAACTTCTCGCTTTAGCCTTTGTTCCTGTTGTAGATGTGATTAAAGCATTCGAATTCATAGCCGATGCTTTCAACGACGACGATGAAGATTTCATCGATTACTTCGAAAAAACATGGATTGGCGAGCCGAAAAAGAGAGGTAAATCGACTAATCAAACTTTTTTTAATATAAAACTTTGATTTTTAGGTGTTGGTCGAAAAAATCCACTATTTACAATCGATCTGTGGAATGTTTATGATAGGGAAAGTGCAAATCTTCCTCGTTCTAATAATTCTATTGAAGGGTGGCACAATGCATTCGCCAAACGTGTTTCCATCGCTCATCCAACGATCACAAAACTTACCGATAAGATTCGCCGCGAACAGTCGAAATTCGAAGTCGATATTGCTCAAATTCGTCAAGGTCAAGAGCCGAAACCGAAGAAAGCAACTTATCGAAAACTGGACGACAGAATAAAACGACTGGTCGATGATTATCACAACGTACATCTCGTCGACTACATGAATGGACTAGCTGCAAATGTATCTTTGTAAATAAAATTTACTTTCTGTATTTTTTTCTTTCTCAATAAAATTAATCGTTGCTTCACAGAAATTATTGTATTAATAAACGTCTCTCTACTTTTACATTGATTGTGTTACATTCAATTAACTATGCAACGAATGGTCAATGCGACGAATTACAATGCGACGAATTGACTGTGCGACGAATTGTCTGCAACTAATTGTCCACGACTAATTGTACGGCGACGAATTGTCCAGTTACCTCTAATAGAATATTTCAATGGCCATAAGGAAGATAATTCAAATATGTACTAAATTGACCTAAATTGGTTGTCTAATTTAACTGAAAAATTAGCTGAACAAAACGATATCGAACTAACTCAATCATCGAATGATTCATCGAATAATGAACAAGCATTATTAACCTCTCCGATATCAAATGGTGAAAGTAAACGTTCATTATTCAATGGTGGTAGTACACATAGTATACGTACCAGAGACCGTCACAGGGCAGGGCATGATTATAAATTGAACTTAAATATTGAATGAGGTAAAGACTAAATGAAAATGTTGTGACCGCTGAAAAGTAAAGTACTCGTATTTTATTTATCCATATTCGAGAAAACTTTAGATCAATATAGATATGCGCTTAAACCATAATTAAATATGAGTAGCAAACAGTAATTAAGATTATCAAAAAAACCCAATTCACTGCAAAACTAATGCGCTTATCGTGATCTGGCGAGTTTAATATGTATACAATTTAAATTAGTGAGAAATCGAGTAAATCTTCCATATTTATTCTCATCAACCCATCGTACTGGATAACCAAAGAATCTTCATAATGTACCAGTAGCTAGAGATTCATTGTGCATTATGGGGCGGTAAAATTTATCATGAAACAAGATATTTACTAATTTTGTAGAACCGGGCGAGTTCATATCAAGTGAAAATAATTTAAAACATAGAGAACTGAGCATACAAAACAAAAACATGCGAAGAAGTATACCTTTAGAACAGGTTGAATCTTTAAGTGAGATTTCTTCTGAAACACTAAGTTCGTGTCTGAAATCATTTAGAAAAAATGCTCATCATACATATAATTCTTAAATTAGCTCGTTTTCTTATACAATCTTAAATGATTCTATCATGTTTTGCATTTCTCTTTAAGCAGTATTATATTCTTATAATTGAATTATATGATAATAAATGAGTATACTGGTATTTTCCGAACTAGACATAGCAACAAATTTCACAGTGACTGGCGCATAATGACATGCATATAATCCATCGCCATGCCAGCATAATCGACTGAAAAATCTGCTGAATACGAGTTTATAGGAAAAATTATCAGGGCACAGGCAAAAATGTTTGCCCTGCCCTGTGATGGTCTCTGATACGTACATCAACATCGTCATTACATAAGGCACCTGTTTATGCAAAATTTATTAAACGTAAGTACATAAAAGGAAAATTTTGAATTAATTTCAAGTAAATTTTATTTTTATTTAGCACTATCAAAACCTTCAAATAATAGTAGTGGCTTGAGTACAATCGAACGTTTACGCTTAAGTGGTTCACCACTTCGTCTTCTTTCATCATCGTCGACATATGCACGTACGACATCATTTCTCAAATCGAATATGAATAATGATCATAATATGTTTCAAACATCATCCGTAAAGCACAGCAAAAGAAATGCACCGTCATGGAAATGAAATCCAAGAAAATTAGATAGCCTAAATGCATGACGTAATAGTCGACATACAGATGATGATGACGATGATGACAATAATAATAATGAAAAAAAAGTCAATTAACAATGGCAACAACAACAGATCGTTTACGACATGCAAGAGATTCCGATTTAAAAAGCGCATACATGTCGAACTTGAAACTTGAATTCAACTGAAACTGAAACTGAAACTGAAACTTTCAAGGGTGTGGGTGCCGGGGAGGGGAGATACGCTTGTCTACACGCTCATATGTACCCATAATGTGGGTGCCGGGGAAGCAGTAGTGTCAGAGGAATAACGTCAAACCTGAAACTTGATACTTGAAGTTTCAGTTGAATTCAAGTTTCAAGTTCGACACTACTGAAAAAGCGAACATATTAACGGCATACAGTGTCGTTTTTATTATCAATTAAACATGCATTCATTTAAAGATTAGCAGAAAAATAAACAATAAATGAAAAACAAGACTACATATTCTTAATTAATTAAAAAAAATTGTGTTTTCAGCAATCGATTTATTTCGAATTTTTTAACTCTTGAAGCAGTTTCAGGTTCTCTTCACGTAATTTCATGTTCTCTTGACGTAATTTGCTGTTATCGTTTTCTAATATTTTCAAGCGTTGCAGGATATGCTCAAGTTGGCATTGCAATGAAAGGTCTGCTAAAAGAAAATTAAATTTTCTCCAATGCTCTATATGTTAGATAATATTGTATTACCTATTGTTGTTGTTGATGTGATGTCGTATGTTGTTGGCGGTGGAATAACAGACACCGCTGCTGTTATTGCAATGTCTTCCTCCTGATCATCATTAGTTATGACCTGAAAATATTATTATGAAAATTATTATATCAATGAAAAGAAATATGAAAAAAAATGACGATTAATCTAGGTAGAATTCCATAATAGGCACACTCACATCCTCATGGAAAGAATTCAACTTACAGCCGATTCAATTGCTTTTTCTACTTCTTTATCGATGTTTCTGACGATACACATTTTTTTTAGTAATATTGAAAAATATTTTCCCCTCGTCTCTTATATGGATAGCAAGTGAGCATTCATTAGTCGAGAGAGAATAAAAACGTTTCTTTGTTTTTGATTAGTTCCACGAAAAGAAACGTTTTCATTCTCTCTCGAATAAACTGTGAAAATGTCGCTTAAGCTGAATAAATAAACAATGGGCAATCATCAGTCATGACTCATGAGTGAACTTATCAATGCGAAAACTGTAACACACCTGTATTTGACGATCAGCGCCCATAACAAAATTATGCACAGCACGCTCAGCATTCTGTTGAACATTCAAAGTTGGATGGCTAACAAAAAAAATAAAACGTTACAAAATTAATCATTTTTTTTTCGTACTAAATATTTACGTTGATAATTGAATAAGTCGTAGAGCATTAAAAACATTCAAAGCGGCTTGAATTTAATCATGAGATGCATTTAATAAATGTGAAATTTCCCGACAAGTACTAGCCAATACATCAGCATCCGCCCAGAAGGATCATCCTGCCGTCTGAAAGGCCATCGGAAACGGCCTGAAACTGCTATAAAACGACATAAAACGGCATTCATTTTCACCCTATTTCGCCGTAATCCGTCAGCTCGTTTTACGGGTCGTTTTTTTTGCTAGAAAATGGCCATCGCTTTTAACACTATTCTCTTCGTTTTTATGCCGTTTACGGGCCGTTTTCTTTCACCTGGGCGAATTGTACAGAAGTTGAGTTAGTGTACGCAATGCTTGAGCAACCTGAATGACACCAAGAAAATTTTTTATCTCATTAAATCCCAGCAATTTCATTTCTTATACTTTAATGATTTCAACGACTGAAGTTTTACCGTAACATAAATTTGATAAGAACCATGTAGCATTGCGTACCATTGTCAAACGAGAATGATGATCAAGAATGCTTAAATAAATCAATTAACATAAAATGCTTATTATTTATACATATTTACTGTAATAATGGCGTGAGTGCTCCTTTATTGAGAACATAATCACGGTATTCTGGATTGTCTCCAGTAATATTACCAAGAGCCCATACAGCCTACAAATAATTATTTTTTAAATAAAAACAAAACAACGGCTTACTTGTTCTCGAACATCTTCATTAGTGCTTGTTAATAAATGAATCAATGCCGGCCCAGCATCAGCATCAATAACATATTTTACTTGACTTGAATTACCCCATGCAATATTTGTCAAAGTCCATGTTGCTTCAAACTTAGTTCAAAAACCAAAACTTTTTATTTCAATTTGAAATTTTTTCTTTTGAACATACTTGAATTCGAAAATGTTGAACTTTCAATAAATCAACAAAACGAGGCACTATACCAGCAGCAATAACTTCATCGATCGGCGGATTAGGTACTAAAACAAATAAACGTATCGATAGTATTGAATATATAATGAAATAAATAAAAAAATAAAATACAACATTTAACAAGTCATTTTCGAAAATAAACAATTCCTTCCAGAATGTGTTGTACATCATTGGCATATAATGGAGCTAGAACTACTTCATTTATTTTGTTCATTTTCATGAGACCGGCGCCATCATGTGCAGTTTCTATCGAGGTTGTGGGTGGATCGCGCATCTAAAATGTTTATATGAAAAGTAACGATTGGTACCACCAGTTAGAAAGATACTGAACGCAATGTAAGAGATATTCGTTCTGACTAATGTAGAAGTAAAACATCTTCTATAACAGTGATCACATATCAGTCTATGTTCTTCTTTTTTCGTTTTTTCGTTTTTTCATGCATCCGTCGGTATTACTTGTTTGTAAGCAATGGGTACATGAAATAATAGACATTGCTGTAAATGAAAAGTAATTTTCTAGTCGTATATAATGTGTAATAATAGTAAAGATATACATAATGACGTAGGCTATAGTCATTTATGACAAAAAACACATATGTTTTGATGTCCTAATATTCCCTGTACAAGAAAGAGAAATGTAAACAAGATCCAGATAATTCGATGGTCAAACACGAATATAAAAAATTTTAGTAGAACAAGGGGTTAAGAAAATTTCTTGTGGTTATTTGTTTTCTTCGTTTGTTTGTTTGTTTCATAACTAGCGGCGGCACCAGGAATTTCGAACTGAGGGGGCTCAGCCCCAACCTATGAAAGTTTCATATAATACAGTGCAAGTCTTTCGAATCCATTATACTATCTAAGAGTGCTTTTTAATCTAAATAAAGAATCAAAACATGCGAATTCACGTTTAAAAATGTCAGCTACTTTATATTTATTGATAATATCTTAATACACATATACAACTTAAAGCAATAAAATTCTACAATTTTTATGGTTGCTCGAAAATTTATCAATTACACGTTCATAATTAATCTCAAAATCCCGCTCAATAGCCATTACTGTTAAATCACTTAAACATTCATTTGTCATTGAATTCCGAAGATAATTCTTAATTATTTTCATCTTTGAAAACAATCTCTCACAAGTAACTTGTGAAATTGGCATAGTTATGGCATTGGTTATCATTTTTAACGTTTGGGGAAATGCATCTGACATTGAAATTAATTCATTATACAATTCAATAACATTATTGACTTTTTTCGATTGAAGCATGGGTTTAATAACAAGAAATTCATTTTTGAGTGCACTCGAATCTCCACCAATATGAAAGCAAAATTCATCGATGGCATCAATATTAAGAAAAGTGGTACTATTTGGATAAATGGTGGAGGTACTTTTCATCAATGATAATGTTTTCGATGAAAATCTATCATTTAGCTCTACCAACATGCAATCAATAACGTTTTTTAGATTGCATTTGTGGAGATTATAATTTAGGTTTAGGCAAGATTAGCAGAAGAGAGTTTTTGTATAGTTACGGCGAACAACTAATTAGAAACTGAAGACAAATCTCTACGACGTAGTCATAGTATTGTCGCAGTGTTAATATCAGAAAAAATTAAACTCATTGAGAAATTTCTAAAAAAACATCTGAGGGGGCTCAGCTTACACTAGCCCCCCTGTGACGGCATAACGTCACCTATCCCAGGTCGAACATACACGGTCGTATACGACGGTAAATCGCCGTATTTGGCCGTATTACATGGCTCCGTATTACGATCGTAAATCTCCGTGCCGTATACGGCGAAATACGGCGCTTTACGGTCGTTTTTGATCGTATTTCACCGTATTACGACACGGAGATTTACGATCGTAATACGGAGCCATGTAATACGGCCAAATACGGCGATTTACCGTCGTATACGGCAGAAAACGGCCGTATACGGCCCGTATTTCACCGTATACGGACGTCGTAAAGCTCGTCCTGGGGTATTATGTGCTGATACTAACTATGCTTGTACATATATTTTCTCAATATAACTTCTTGATTCTTATTGCCTAGCTACTACCCGCGTCTTTACTTTTATCTGTATCTTTCTTTTATTCATTAGCTTGTTACTTTTCTTCTCTGTTAGTTGGTTCTATCATAATCAACTCCTTTTTTCTTCTTCTTTTTCTTCTACGTGACTCTAAAACTTCTTCTTCTGGAAGTCTTGTCAAATCGTACAACTTATCCTTGTTGTATCTATTGTTTCATTGATTAATTCTAATCTACTAAATAAATTAGTGAATTCTCATTCAAGTTTCATTTTCTTATTTACCTCATCTTGTCATTTGCCGTCATGTCATTGTGGCATTTGTCAATACTTAAACAGTCGCGTCTTCACCTAAATCTTAATCGTTAAAATAACGACGTGACACCCCCCTCCCTGGCGCCGCCACTAGCAGCGGCTGGATTTTCTTCCTAAAAATCGGCGGCGGCGGCTCAGCCTCCACATTGCTTTATGTGACTCTAAGTCGTTTTGTCATTGCACCATATCAAACGCACAATATTTTAAGAATGGAATTGAGAGACACACGGCTAACGGTTGGCTATAGCTGTTCGCATCCTTCGTAGTATAGTGGTTAATACTTCATTCCTTCACAATGATCGCCCAGGTTCAAATCCTGGCGAAGACTAGCGAACGCGCGATCCAACTAAAGCGCATATATTTTTTATTGGATGCCATAGCGATATGAGATTGATTAACTCAAGAGCAGGCCACATTTTTTTAATAGAGTTTCGTGCAAATAACATAATCAAAAATATGTTAAACAATATTTTAAATCTATTGAAAACACTCATAAAACTACGTCATCTATGACATTTAACGGCACAGGTGTATATCTCAGCTCAAACCACATTCAGTAACTAATCATATAATTTTTGACGACGAAATACAATAATAGTACATTTCTATTCATGTTTAAAAGTCACTATCAATAAAAAGAGTTAAACTTGTCTTTTGCTAGATTTAATCATGTCTTCATCATCAGAGGCATCGACAAAAAGTAGTAGTAGTGACAATAGTCAATCATCATTACAACAAGATGCAAATATTGTTCTAATTGGACCTCCAGGAAGTGGTAAAAAAAATAAACTATGAAAATTCAATCTAACGATTCTTTTACTAAAGGCAAAGGAACACAAAGTTCGAAATTATCAGTGCATTATAAAATATGTCAGCTATCAACAAGTGATCTACTACGTCAAGCAACTCAAGATCAATCATCATCGGAAGGTCAACAAATTCGAAAAGCTATGGAAGCTGGTGGTCTTGTCGATGACCATATTGTTTTATCACTAGTTAATAAAAATCTAACTAAACCTGAATGTAGTAATAGATTTTTATTCGATGGATTTCCTCGAACAATAAATCAAGGTGAACAGCTGGAGCAATTACTTGCATCAAAACAAAAACGACTTGATGCCGTATTAGAATATGCTGTATGTATATCGAGATTTTTTCGATTCCGAACTATTCCGAAAAATATTATATTACAATTTAGATCTCTGATGATCTATTAAAAAGACGTATTCGTGATCGACTTATTCATAAGCCATCGGGTCGAACATATCATGAAGAATTTCATCCACCTAAAGAATCAATGAAAGATGATATAACAGGTGAACGTCTTGATCGTCGTTCGGATGATACAACTGAGACATTGAATGCCCGATTAAATACTTATCATAAACAAACAATACCATTGGTAAGAAAATTTCAATGGAACAAAATTACCTGTGAATAATTTGTTTTTTTTTCCATGAAGATTGATTTTTACCGTCAACGAAATATTCATCGTTGTGTTGATGCAACTAAAAAAGTAAATGATGCTTATCAAGAATCGCTTGAAATCGTTGATTACTTACATAAACAACCAACTTATAAACCTGCGCCAATTGATCAAAATCCAGTTGATAAAAATGTTTTAAGTAAAAATTTCCTATCTATTTACAATTCAGTGACAAGCGTATTACGTGATCATGGTCTTATTTAAAATGATTCCAATTCAAATAATAAAAAAGAATTCGTTATATTATTATTATTATGAGACTAGCTCGTCTTCTTTATTTTAATTGTTCGTTTGGAAAATATATTTAATCGATTCTATTTGGATAATATTATGAGCTTTTTCTTCAACAACAAAACAGCAGATGTCACCTTCAAGGTTTCTATGGATTTCTTTTGTTGCAATGAATTATTCAAAAAATTTAATATTTTACTATTTTGTTATTCTGTATTTCTTGTTTTTTTTATATCTTACAATGAAGTAATAAAAATTTAGAATGCGATATACACAAATCGGCTTTCTGAAAGATTTACTAGCAAAAAAAATGATGATTTAATATAGATTAATTTTCTTTCGATGGGAATAATGAAGGATCAGTTTTTAAATGCTATGAATAAATACCAAGCATTTCTTTTGATTCACACTAAATTACTATATTTTGTTTTTTCTTTCGCAGTATTTGCTCTTAGACCACTTTATTCGCATAAATACACAAACTATTAGTCATGATATTTGTCCTTGATTGTGTTAATTCAGAGTAAATAACTTGTGTTTTACTCAAACCAGTCATGGTTTAGGTATTCATATTTTTCTTACGTTGTGTAATAAAAACGACCCTGATATCGAATCATTTAAGTGCTTTAGATTATTTTCTTTCGTCAATCTTACCTAAACAACAACAATTATGGACGAATCTCAAAATAAAAATCGTTTAACACTTACTGATCTTGGTGTATTAATTCTTTATTTTACATTATTAATGGGTGTTGGTTTTTATTCAATGCTCAAACATAATCGTTCAACAGTGAAAGGATACTTTTTAGCAAATCAAAAAATGACTTGGATATTTATTGGAGCAAGCTTATTTGCCACGAATATAGGTGCCGAACATTTTATCGGTCTAGCAAGTTCGGGTGCAGCAAAAGGTAAACGTTTGTTTTGAAAGAAATCCTCTTTGTTTTCGTTACCGATAGATCATGAATAGGGTTTGGTGTTGGTGCCTTTGAAATAGCTGCTATAGGTATTATTCAACTGCTTGGCTGGGTGTTTTTACCTGTTTTTCTTGCTAGTGGTGCTTCTACATTACCTGAATACATGAATCGAAGATTTGGTGGACAACGTATACGAACTTATATAGCATGTCTATATCTTCTTCTTTATATATCAACTAAAATCAGTGTGAATATTTATGCTTCGTCATTATTTATAAATTACCTTCTGTCATGGAATATCTATTTGAGTAATATATTTGTTCTTGTTTTAACGGCTCTATGTACGATATGCGGTGGTCTTGCAACTGTTATGTATACAGATACAATTCAAGCAATAATAATGGTCATCGGAGGATTATGTGTTATGATTTTATCTTATAATAAAATCGGTAGTTTATCTAATTTTTATAATCTTTATTTAAATGCAACTCCGACTGTCCCCAATGATAATCTATGGCATAATTCAACGATAGCACCGACATGTGATCAACCAACAATAGAATCCTTTCAAATGTTAAAGCCAATATCAGATCCATACATGCCATGGTTAGGATTTTTTCTCGGGCATACACCAAATATAATATGGTATTGGTGTTCCGATCAAATGATGGTACAACGTGTTCTAGCAGCTCGAAGTATTTCACATGCACGTGGTGGAACATTATTAGCTGGTTATTTTAAAATATTACCTTTCTTTATGATTATCATACCAGGCATGATAAGTCGAGCTTTATATCCAAATATAGTTGCATGTAATCAACCATCGACATGTCAAGCAATTTGTAATAGTAAACGAAGTTGTACAAATATAGCCTATCCAACATTAATTGTACATATATTGCCACTTGGTTTTAAAGGTATGATGGTTGCTGTTATGCTTGCAGCATTAATATCCGGCTTAACATCAATATTTAACTCGGCGAGTACTATATTTACTGTTGATATCTATCCGAATCTATGTTATCTTCGTCGAAATCAAATTAAAAACCAAGAATTAATGATTGTTGGACGTTTGTTTGTTGTATTTATGACTTTAATTAGTCTTTTGTGGATACCCATTGTTGTAGAAATGCAAGGTTCAGAAATCTATGTCTATATGCAACAAGTCATTGGATTTTTTGCACCGCCTATTGCATGTGTATATCTATTAGCCATTCTATGGACACGAATAAATGAACTTGGCGCATTCTGTGGTTTAATGGTAGGTTTTATTTTTGGTTTATTACGTATGATACTTCAATTTTCAAAACAACCACCATTGTGTGGAGAAGAAGATACCAGACTTTGGCTTATACGTCGTATTCATTTTATGTATTATTCAGCGTTTGTTTTCTGGATAACTTTTTTCATCTGTGTTATTGTTTCATTATGTACAAAACCACCAACCAAAGAACAGCTATTTCGAACAACATATTGGACAAAAAATCAAAAGTTGGTTGATGAACTTGAGTTGACGAATCACAAGCCGTATTGTGCATGGTCAATTTCTAGGTAAAAACAAAACAAAAATAGAAATATAGTTTAGTTATTTTTCTAATTAATTTTTAGTGTTAGTAAACCAATCGAATTTCAAGATGCGAATTTATTATCGCAAGCATGTTTAGAAAACTTCAACGATGACATTGAAGAATCAACATTGATGTTTTATCGCCAGAAATTACTTCTAAATCTTGATGCTAATGAAAATTGTGATAGAACCGACGTTAGTCTTGTTGGCACACGACAAAATCTTAGTGAATCTTTATTATTGAAACTATCAAATGATGCTCAACTACAAAAACCTAGAAGAGGATACGCTAATTTATTAAAAGTATGTTGTTCATGGTTTTGTGGTTTGAATGATGATGGCACCGAACTGCAAACGGCAACGGTCGATGATTCAACTGAACAACATCAACTAGCATTCCAAACTACGAGACACAGTTCCATGATAAAATGGTTATTGAATGGAAATTTAATATTTCTTCTTCTTGTTCAGCTAACTCTTTTTATTGTGTTATCTATACCTATTAAATATACATTTTTGAAAAGTTAATAGTCAACTCGTTTTGTCTAAAACATATGTGACAGTGTGAGAATACACAAATCGCTTAGTAATATACAATCATAATTTTCGATCAATTTCTGTGATATTTATTCAAATAATTCATTATTTAAGCTCTTTTAAATAATAATTCTATGACATCTATCGCGTACACATGTAATTAGAACATTATTTTAAACCAATATTTAAGACACTTGTGTCGCTCTGTTTCTTTTTACTTCACCATACATTTTCTTACGCTTGTCATCATGCATCATCAACCATCTGTGTTGTTTTCATTCTCTTTTTGTTTTTGTTGTAGCAGTTCACCATGTTTGATAGAAGTCTTCTTCTGTTGTTACTTCTCCCCTGTCTAATATCTACGCAACTTGTTGATCTAACAGATAAAACATGGAGAGAAATGCTCACTGGTCAATGGATGGTAGAATTGTAATTTTTTTCTTGACATTTTCTTGATTCATATTCGAAGATTATTCGTTCGTTTCTTTCAGCTATGCACCATGGTGTCCAGCTTGTCAACAGTTCAAACAAATCTGGAGGGATTTTTCTAATGCGATGTCATCGAGAAATATTAAAGTAGGTGCTGTTGATGTCGATAAATATCAGTCACTCTCCGGTCGTTTTCGTATTTCGTCATTGCCTACTATTTTACAGTAAGTATACTACATAAAAAACTAAAATATTCATCTTTTGATTTCCAACATGTAACTCAGCGTGCGTGATGGTGTTTTTCATCAATATGAAGGTGAACGTTCATTACGTGGTTTAAGAAATTATATTGACAAAGAAGAATGGCTAAAAAGTGGTCCGATGTCATCTAGCTTTGCTCCAGATAGTCTTGTGTATGTAGATTATTCAATTAGTCTACTATTTCTTCATTGTTTCTCTTTTAACAAGAATGTCATTAATAAGTTATGTTTTCGATTTATCTCTACTTGTCAAGGTTTGTTGACAAATATCGGACAAGAAAAGTCACACTGATATTAATCTATTTCATGTAATTCTATAGAATGCTTATTCAATACTATTGGATCAATACGGATGGCCAGCATGGCTCATCTATACAGTATTTGGCATTGCCATGGTTATCGTAGGAATTATCATTGGATTTGTATGTATAGCTACTTTTCGATTTACTTATTTCTTGTTTGTTTTCATATATATATATATATATATAGATTTCGCTTATGATAATGGATTGTATCATAGCTGCTTGGTATAAAATGTATTATACATTGTTTAGAAAGGCTAAAAAGGTCTCTATAAAGAAAAACATTTAACAAAAAAATATTGTTTTTCTTTTAAATTCTAGGATGAATCTGATGCAGAATACTTAGAAGACGCAGAACAAAATCCAATAGGTGAAGATGAAAGTGATACGACCAAAGATGAATTAAATACTCCTGATGATGTCGAAAGAGCAATAGAGGAAGATATAAATCAGCCGACAACAGCAACAGATCAAACTGTGCGTCAACGTCGATTGAAAGATTAATTTTTTGATAATAAAACACATGTGAAATTGTCCATTTTTTAAATTAGTAATCACATTGATTTTTATATAGATGAAGTAGATTCCGTATTGTTCATTAAAATCTGTAGTTATCTGTACTCAATTTTGTTTTGTCTTGCTACTATGATAAAAAAAAGCTTTTGAAATATATTACTATTATTATTCGATTAAAAATCTTAACAGTATGAAAACGATAAATCTTTTAGGCGGTTTTTTTTCTTTCAATTGAAAAGCATAAGAGCATTTCGAAAGGAATTCGCACCTTTACTCGAGCGATGTCTTGTAAAAAATATGTAAATAAATTCTTCAGTGTAGGGTGAGCTTTAAATAGAACAGCATGAACTCACGAATGTAAAAACCTCCTCTCGAATGGAATTTTCGGTAATCATTGAAGTGCGCAAGATAAAATTTTCAAAATCTCTTGATCCAAAAAAATTACAGATCTAGTTAAATTTTCGAAATAATTCCACGAATTCACTTCTAACAAAACAAAAGCAAAGTTGTTTTCTTTTATGTGTTCAAGTATGAAAATAATTTTACATCTTACTTGAAAAATATTCATTCGTACAAGCAAACAATTTCATCTGGATTTCTCAGATTTCAGTTCGTACTTTATTTATTTTGAATTATTATCGCATTCGAACCTATCAACAGAATAAATTAAGATTCAAGCCACAAAAGAGTCATTCTATTGAATCATAATAAAGTAATTCGATGCTTTTTCCCCAATAATTAATAACAAATAAAAAAAATGATTCGTTATTTCAGACAAGAAAAGAAATTCGGAAATATTTTCTTTGTATTCATTCATATATATCAAACATAAATAACAGAAAAAAAAAAATAAAGAAAGAAAGAAAAACAGTTAAAAAATCAGCAATAACTCATTCGACTTTCTCCTGTAACAATTTCATATACTCAGTCCAATCAAACAAGCAATTCATGTGTTTTATACGGCGACGAGAATTATAGTTACTCGTGTTGTTTCTTTCTACCTCTCAAAGAGAAGCACTTCATATTTGAGTAACTATGCTGTGCATAAGGTGTATCAATAGGTTTTCTTTTTCTTTTTCTGCTCTCTTTCTCTATTGTATGTTTGCTCTTTTCGTTACAAATTAGAAATATAGTTGCCTTTTTCTTTTTTCGTCCATTGTATTGTCACAATCAATAATACACTTTATTTCATCTCTTATAAGATGACAACTACAACAGCTACTCCAGTAGTTAGCTTACCGAAAAATAAAACAGGATCTTTCGCTGGTGATACTTTACAGGAAACAAAATCAATAAAAAGTCTAACAATTTCATTGTTACGTCAATCTCGTAATGTGGGCTCAACTACTCTATCATTAGTGCCAACTGAAAAAAGTCGAGGTAAAATTCAACAGTACTATAAAATTGATGAAATAAATACAATGAAAAAAGAGGGAAAATCGAATGTTTCAATAAATAAAGATGTGATCCGAAATGGTTTTCGACCGTCGCCCATACGTCGTCAAAAATTGTATGACACCAATTCAACAACGCATCGAGATTTAAAGGCTTCATCACCAAAACAATCACTTATTCCATCGCAAACTTCAAATAAATTACGCTCAGACATGAATCAATCTAATAGAAAGTTAAAAGGACAAGCAGATCTCAATAAAATTTGGCGAGGCCAACAAAATCCAGTAAGGAGATTTTCAATATTCTGAATAGAATCAATGGATTGAATGTTTTAGGAACGTGTTGGAACTCCACGTAGTAATCTATCCTATACAACAACATATCGTGTTCCATCTGCTTGTACTACCACTCAAGCAGCCGATCGTAGTCATCCACGTTTTCCATCATCGATGACCACAGCTACTGTAAATACACTTAGTTCATTTTCAGCAGCCATCGATATCTGTAGTAAATCTACACAAAGTTTATCGGGTATCAGTGAATCATCACGAGTACTCAATGAAGAAAATACGAATCGAGATGAACTAGATCATCATGTGACTCATGCTTATCAAATTCCACAACAATCCAATGTTGGATCTGAGAGTATATTTACGTCACGCTCACCGACAGCACCATTTTCAGTCAAAGCAAATCCTAAAAACCCTTTTCGTCGTTCTAAAGGGCCTAAATCGGTAACATGTCCATTCTATGTTATGTATTTTACTAATTTAACTACGCAAAAACAACCGATCAATAATAATCAAAAGAATAAATCTCGTTTATTGATACCAGCCACACGAGTACATTTAGCAACTGCCTATTCACGTTCAAGTACATCCTATTCACGTTATCGATCGGCAAAAACACGTCTCAATACTCCTGTAACAATAATTGCAAATTCAGCAATGAATGACGATGACGATGACGAAACAAATGCAACATTGTACTATAATAACAAACGTTTCTCAGCTAAAATAGCTGCATATGAAAATGAAAATTCAACTTTATTAAAGGATGTTCTACGGACTACATCATGGAATCATGTACAAATGTAAGAGTAGTCGTGAATATTTTTTATTTCTAAAATCTTCATTTTTTTTTTCTATAAAACATAGAAATAATAAATGATTATGATAAATATAGTCATCTGTCGATGATAGTTCTAGGTAGTGGAGAAAAGTTCAAGCGAATATCTGCGCTGTTAATAGGTGAATAATGAATAGAATAGAATAGAACAGATAAAAATCTCCATGAAACAAAGAACATAACCGGAATGATTACCCAACGGACTAAAACGATATTCAGTGAATACCCAAAAACTACGATGAAATAGATCAATTTCAATATCTGAGATATTTTGTCATTCGATCACATATTAGATTATATAGGTGCATGTTTATTATCATATTGTGATAGTTCACTTGTTGTTGACTTCGATGTCGACGAAAGATAACTATATAAGTAGTTCTTTTGAGGTGGTTTGTTATTGGATGTATCTCGCGAGTGTTGAATAAAATTTGTAGTCTCGAAAGCATTTGAACGAGACGATGTTTCATGCTGATCTCGATCGAATCGTCTACTTGAAGAACGTTTTGAACTCGTCCTATGCTGTTTCGTACGAGATAGTACTGTTGGCACAATATAAAATATGGATACACATATATGGAGAACAGATCGACGAAATTTTCCACTAGTTAATAGATATATAAAAAAGTTTGCTGCATGTTGTAAATCGCTCAATTGAAACATGAGTATAGTTAAAATTTTCAATCGACGATAACGTCTCCATAGATAATAATCATTAATTGTTGGTTCTTTATTAAAACCATATGTACTTTCAAGTACGAAATAAATACTGTTGGGTAATGTAAAAAGAAGAAAAACACCAGCAACAGCAAGTAACATAAATGTTATATGACGATTTCGTGAACGAACAATTTGTTGCGTTTGATTACTTCGCATTTCAATTTCTGAATTGTTTATTTCGAGCATACTTGAACGTTTTGGTTTGTTCGCTGGAAAGAAAAAAAAAACGAATATTTATTTATGAGTTTCTAGTAAAACGTTCGAAAACAAACATCAGACGCTACTAAAATGTTAAGTGGATCATCTATTTACATACTATTAGGCACATAGGATTCGATAGCCAACTATTGGCAGTGATATTTAATACTCCATCTGAATTATAAATTTTGGCATATAGAACGCTGCTCAGGGAATACAAACAAAATTAAGAAATAAAATTTATGCATGTGAAATATTTCATGTCTATCGGGAATTCAACAATGGCAGATAGCTAAATATATTTGCTTTGTTTTTCTCATTTATTGAATACAAACGTTGTTTCATTTACTTGGATTAGGATCGATGCTTGCTTGTTTAATTTTGATATGATTTTGACGTTGAACCTTTCGTTTTTGACTTAATTTATAAATAATCAATAGACTCAATGCTGATATGAGAATAAACGGGAGGAAACACCATATTACAAAATCAGCATAACGCCATATACGCTGTATTAAAGCATACCGAGACATGTCATAGTAGCAAGCATGTTGTGTAGCATCTTTCGGATGTGTAACACTAGCTATTGTCCAAAAATGGTGAAGCGATATAATACTTGTCATGGCAATAAGTAGTACACAAACATATTTTGCTCGAGTTATCGTACAAAAATAGGCAACTTTAAGAGGAAACCAGACTGCAAAAAATTTATCAGCTGTCATTATAACAAGTATCCAAACTGTTGTATAACCAACGACATAAATAAGAAAATAAAGAATTTTACACAGTATGGCATCGGCGGCAAGAAATGTTGGATAATATACAAGATTTTTTGTCAATAAAACAAGTGGATCGAGAACGCTCAGTATAAGCATAAAAAAAGCTGTTGCTGTTCCACGCATATGACGACTTCGTAATGCAAAAAATGATAAACAATTGCTTATAAGTGATATAGGTAAAATAGTCAACGGTAAATAGATACGTAAAAATTCGGCTATCTGCATTTCTGTCCAACATTCGGATAGATGCTGGTAAGATGCTTCATTGATAGTTTCAGTCAGATTACGACAAAAATCAGGAATGTTTCCCATCTAAAATATATGATTAGTGTGTGTTAGTAAAAACACAAAGGAAACTTGCTGTGAAAGTACTTTCGCTTTTATTTTTTACCAATAGAATATAAAATGTGATCGAAAAAAGAAAACAATTCATGGATTTATCTTTGCTCCGATAAGGATTATCAGTAATAATGAACGATTTATTGATAGATCGCATGAGGTTAAATACAGAACAGTCAACTCTTATATATATATATATATATATAGAATAAAACTGAAATGTTGTTGTTTCCAAACACACACACATATATATATATATGTCGTGATTGCGATCAATAATCTTCAATTGAATTATCTCTATCGTATATTGATACTAATTCAATCGGTTCCTAGTTCCAGTGGTATTGTTTTCGACACATTCATTCAATTGATTTAATAAAACTATCAATGCGACAGAAACACTTACTTGGCATTCTCTCCTACCGTTCGACACAAAAGTGGCAGTTGTTTTTCTTATTTTTATATTATATTTTTAATAATGAAATGATCGTTAATCCTTTCATTAATTCGGCAACTGTTCTATTCTGATCTATTGATGAATGAGATTCTAATCTCAAGGGAAATCAAATCACGATTAATCTCTATTTTGAAAAATCTTAAGATTTATCTTCTTGAAATCTCTAGATGCTTCAAGATTCTCTGACAAAAGTTTCATCAGACAGCTACTTACAAACATAGGATTATTGCTATTCTACATTACCAGATTGCGTCAGGTTGCCATTTCTTATTTTTCAAATGGTGTTTTGAAAGGCCAAATGGGATTTATTTGGGGTACATTTGTTTTCAGAATGAGGTACATAAATGGGGTACATTACCTACCTCCTAAAAAAAGAGGATTTAATTGAGAAGACCGTTCAGATAAACACTACTCTTAGAAATAGAAAAATCTGATTTACATACAGAACAATGAGCAAAATATTTGTTAATTCGACATTCTCTGAGAAATGCTGTATACTTAGGAACTTTCAACCATTTTTGGTTTAAGATAACGCTTTTTTGACTTCGATGAACTTTTTTTCTTTGATATGGGTAGTTGGTTTGTCTCAGACGCTAAGAAATTCTTCACTTATTGCTGCCTCTGAATTATCGGAAATTTCAATTTCATAACCATTATTCAATGCCATGCGAAGATTATCGCCAAGAACGAATATATATTGAAGAGAAAATCTAAAACTATTCAATTTTTGAGACAGTATGTATTTGTCAAATTTGATAGAAAAAAAAGTAATCAAACGATGAGAAATTAGAAAAGGAGAAAAATTCAAGAAAATCAATTTCATTATTCATAGTAAAAATAGTTTATAAAACCAAATACTTCAAGGCTAAGTTAAACAAAACGGATGCTAATATCTATCGGTCAGTTATTTATCCACACATTTTATTGTGCATTTCTTTATGAAAACGAAAAAAGTCTAAATGGGGTACAGTTGGAAACCCTGGTTGAGTACTAGTAATCTTATCTAGCAAAAGAAAGTGCTCAAATGATAGTGTTTTTCTCTTATTGTAAAAATAATTGAGAAAAAGTCAAAAAGAAAGCAAGAGAACAGATAGAGATTATCACGGAAAAAGAAAGTGTTGCGTAGGCAAAAAAGACAAACACCAGAAAGAAAGGAAATGACTGATGATAATGTTCATCTTGATGAAAATTCAATTAATACTACGTTAAATATATTCTTTTCAGTTGCATACACTAACTATTATCAAAGCTGTAGAGAACGATGTAGTTCTTGCCTGACTGTTCTTTCATTAAAAACCGATATACATGACATAAAAAAATAGAAAATATATGAAAAGGCATTATTCATTTACTGATACTAGAATATGACTATTTAAAGAGGCTTTAGTTTTCTTCTTCTTCTCCTCCTTTTTTCTATGCACATGCGTTGTTTTGTTTAATGAGAAAATAAAGCGTCAAACTCACTAGAAGAAAATACGGAAAAGGAAACATTACTCAGTTTAAGCTAGTCTCCTTTTTATAATGAAAAAGTTCTTTAACTTTCTCATTCTAAATTGAAAACATAGGAGTACGTTGGCACTAGTATATAAATGATTGGTTTTAATATTTCTCTGTGTAATTTTCCCGGGGAAAAAAATCATTTCTTTGCAACACTCTATGAGCTCAACGTCATTCTCATTGAGTAATTGACAGGAAATAAGAACAAACCATTTTCTGTTTTCTTTCTCCAAAAAAAATACAAATTGGAATTCTATTCAGACTCTAGCATACCTTTTTCGATCTATATTTTAGTGGACAGACTATGAATTTATATTCTAATCAAGCCACCAAAAAGAAAGACTTCCGATCGATGAATCAAATAACTATATTGCTGCTTCTATGAACAAATTTCAAATGAAGAATATTTCTTATTTCATCGCACTCAAAAAAAGATGAGCCTTAAGAATGCCAATATATTCCACCAGTTCATTGTTAAATGTCAATGATATAGACAAGTATTAGCAATGTGCCGGCTTTTACAAAATAAAAACGTCTTTTCATGTTTGTGATCGACGAGTTAATGGATGGCACGTACCCGACATCGGTTCACCATTACAGAAATAAACAAAATCATGTCTGCTAAACGGCTCAGTCAAAGAATCTTGCTGCCGAAAGAATTTTTTTGAAGATTTCTTTTTTTGCGCTCTTCATACTCGATTTAATAATCAATTATAGTGGTTTTATTAATTTGATTCAAACGAAACATGCATAAAACTATTTAACATGTGTAGATATATGTATAAGATTATTTTCAAAGGAAAACTTTGCTATAACGAAAAATGAATTCTAAATTTTCAGACAATAAAGACATGAACGAAAAAAAATACTGCAGACAACATCTGACAAAATCCGTCTTTTTTTCAAATACGTTCCATTTGATTATTTGCCGGAAAAAATTTTCTCATAGGGTGGTGGACGTTCTGAAAGATAATCGTCCATGTGGTGTGGTGGAGCACTTGGCTGAGGTAACATTGGATGATATTCAGAATTCCATGATTGTACTGGTCGTACTTGTTGTGAATTCGGTGAGTTTGTCTGAATCACTACTGTTTGCGGTACCGTAACAAAACCTTGCCACGAAATAGAGTAAAATACATTTATGAATTAAAGATATTCAATGTTACCTTCATTTCTTTTTCGACTTTTATTACTGCGACAACAGCATCTAACGCAAATACAAATTGTTGTAACAATACAGCAAATAATACATAATAATACACCAACAAATACCGCTATGGCTACCTAAATATATCATTTGTTTTTCTTGAGATAAGAAAGTCATAGTAAATTGCAATCAAAAATAAAACAATGCACACACTTATAGATCCAAGTATTTCTTAAGTATGTAGGAGTAGTTGATAGCGCTAGGGGTTGGAAAAGCAAATCTTATTCGCTGCGAATTGTCAGTTTTTTTCTACTAGTATCTTTCGAGTATAGTCGACATCAGAATGTCCTTCAGTCTGTCTTCGCTCAAATAATGCATTCGGTTATATAGGTGTTGATTACGATAAATTCAATACAAGACAATGTAATTTTTTCTGATAGTAACCGTACAGAGAAAAATCGATAAATGTAACAAAAACCATACATGACTTTAAAGCGTCGGATGAAAAAAAACATATAGGAACAATTGAGATGCCTTTTCAGACAATATTTTTATTTTCAAGAGATATAAGTACTTTATATGAAAAAAATGAATATGCGCCAGTTTGTACTCGTTTAAAAGTTCTATCGTTTACCGTGGCATGTCAAATATTTCTCTCTTCAATTAAATTGAAAGAAAAACAAGATTGTTTTCTTGTCAGACATTTGCGTGACTCTGAATGTTTACGGTTTAAAATCGTAATCTTCCTTTTAACTGTCCGTGTTTTGGTCTATTTGAAGAAAAATGATTATCCAGTTTACCCTTCAGTAAAGCTGGGATATATTTTAATTAATTGACTTGGAATCTGTATAAGAATAAGCATGTATGAAGTTTGGAGTTTATATAAAAATCTGACTCAAAATAGTCTCAAAGACCATAAAAGCAAGAAGCATACTTAAAAATCTGGTTTGTGTTCAATTAGGTGTATGTTAGATCAATTAAAACTCTAATTTATTCTTCAAAAAGGATATTGTTTGAAACGCTCGACTTTTCTGAATAGATAGATTATTTAGTATAACCTTTTATAGTAAAACGTTTTAGTAGGAAATTGCATAAGGAATCTTTTGAAAAAAAAAATCTATTCTTTATTTAAAAGGTGTTATTATTTATGGCTCACCGGCACTTCTAAAATAAAATCTCTATTATTGAACAGCTCACTATTGCGAGTTGAAATATTATTTTTACGATGCTGAGTGCTATGTTAACCTCTTCTGAAAAAGTACACGGGTATTCGTTTTCTTGTACACTCTCTCATTATTACATATATATACAGTATGTAAAAAAATTATTCGGACACTTGCATTTTTGTCTTTATCAATGCTCTATTTTACATCGAAACATTTTGAATTACATATCATCTGATAGAGAAAACATTTCTCTACACGTTGGTATGTATAAAAATTGAAAAAGATGTTAAGATCAGGTTGAAAGGTTCTCCACACCGGAAGCACCGTAGGTTTTACAGAAAACCTTCGTTTTCCAGCTTCACAAAAATGAAAACCCAACTCAAAATATATCATCAGAAAGAGAAAACAAAGCTGATTCCAATTATGTAGCTTGTTTTTCAAAATTTTGAAATATTGAATGTAATAGTCATTAATTATGATTAATATTTTCTTCAGTACGTGTAATATTGTCAATTTTCAGACAACTAAATTTAACTATAAAAGTCTTTCAATGATTCAAGCTGGTAGAGAATTAAATTCTCTACAAGATGGTATGCTTGAATGCACGATAACTATTTTTGTTAGACACGATGCACACCGATGCATTCACGTTCAATTTTGCTCAGTTTCATCCTTCGCCATCACCGCATATATATTATTAAGAAAGCNTTTATACATACCAACGTGTAGAGAAATGTTTTCTCTATCAGATGATATGTAATTCAAAATGTTTCGATGTAAAATAGAGCATTGATAAAGACAAAAATGCAAGTGTCCGAATAATTTTTTTTCTTATAAAATCGACTGATTTTTAGAAAACCTTTTAAAATATTATCAAAACTACATTATGGAAAAATTATTTTCTATGCAATAGAAAGTAGAGATGATGGCCTATCGAATGATGTAATTAGAGTTTAAAAAATATATTTCCTTTACTAAGAAATTCACTCAACAAAATTCGTGTAGTAGGGCGTCCGAATAATTTTTTTACATACTGTATATATATATATATATTTATAGTAAGAGCTCAGGGTCGGGCACTAATACACAGCTCTATTGAAGTCAAATTGATCGAGAAATGTTTTCTTCCGGAATCGATGTCAAAATGAAATCAACTAAGTGTGTCGACTGTTATTCAATAAGGCCTCCAAGCTAAAAGTGCAACGATGAAACCAGGTTCAGTTGACTTTTTTCGGATGTTGGAGTTCCGTTTCGAGAAAATAGTTGAATTTTTAAACACATGATTCGCTAAGGGACCGTTCCCAAGTGCCGTTCGTTAAGAATATTAACAGTTTATCTAAACATAGACCTCAATCTTTTATTGAAGCGTTTCATTTAAAAAAAAAGTCTCAGCAAGGAAAGTACACGGAGACAAACGCTTGTAAAATGGTACTAGACTTCGATTTAATTGAAAGAAAAAATATATTACCTTTTTTGCCATGCCGAAAATTTCTTCACTGCTAAAAAATAAAATAAATATTAATTCGTTCTTGATTGATTAGATAATAAAGTAGCTATTGATAAAAGAATATTGATACATGAGAAACAGTTTCTAAATCATACGCTACATTCTTATTTTTATGTTGATTGTGCTAACCACAATCAAATACGATAAACGAAAATCAATTACAAAACGATATAATACTAAAAACAACGATAGCTAATCTTCATTCTCTGTGTCATTAAAATACCTGTCAATATCTGCCATGGTTTTGGTTATGAGCATAACAAAATCAGAATTTTGTATCGAACTACAAATAATAAATATACTTCATATGAATCTCCCAGAGAATAGAAATGAAATATTTGATTTGTTATAAATAACTTACTCAAGGATTTCACGACGATGACGGCCATTCACTATCGACTTTCTCTTATTCAGACGAGTTACTCTAGAATAGAAACGTTCAAAAACAAATGTTTTTCCATATTATTTTATCTGACCGAATTAAAATCTTCGGAGTTGTTACTGGCCACGATTGATTAAATGAATCACTATTAACAATATCATTGGATCTATGTTCACTGACCGCTGTATCAACGAGAAAAAGGAAGCAAAGATATTAGGAAAAATAAAGTTATACACTCGAACCGTCTCTTCATACTTATAGATGATTGTTTGGCATTAACAATAACAAATAGTAAACTAATTAATAAAGTTAAGCAGTGTATAAACATGTTGATTTTGAATCAATATGAGATGTTGTTAAATCAATCAAGAAGAAAGGTCATCAGCGTTCGTTCGTTCGTTCATTTAGTATATTCTTAGAAAATTCTTATTGAACAGCCAATAGGTCTGATAAAACCGAGAGATGTCAGCAGCTATAATCATCGAGTGTTTCGTTGTCATAATAGTTATATAGTATCTGCTGTGTTGAATATATTCTATTTTCAAATTCTAATCATGATCAAGTATTTTTATGAATCGAGTATGCAGGGATAATTCGGCATAGCTAATAAGAATTCGCAGAAAGAGTAAAAGAACAATAACAAAAACAAAACAAGTTTTGCTAGTGTAACATGATCTACTATTTGTTCGATAGTCAGCTGTTCAAAGTTATCTGAGCGATTGAACTTTGATTTCTTTCGAATGGCTATCATCAACAAACAATCACATTCGAGATAGAAAATACTTTTTTTAAGTCGACTTATGAGTTCTATATTTCAAAAATGAATAGATGATGTTACAGATATAGAATGCACGTTTAAACATTGACTAAGTAATTCTTAAACATATAGACCATTGAACCGTAGTTTTGATGCCACTGTATTTCTTCACGTGCAAATTATTTTCTTGGAACTGATACTTATGATCTGTTTACATCATTCAGCAAGATAAAATAAATTTAATTCGAAGATATAAATCGTAGTACATCTTTATGGAAACCGGGGAAAATCCTATTGCATTTTTTTAATACTTCACCGATGATTTTTTTTTCTTAGTTTTAATATTTGATAATTGATTGCCAATAGATTTTATGCGTGGGCTTCTTACTCGGTAGGTGGTCAACAAAAGAACAAGTTATTATACAATCTATATTTAGGCACTTAACCATTGATCTATCTTATATAGTGATCTATTGCTGTCGCTGCTTTTCTCGTCGAAGTAAACCCGATCTTGATAATACAGATTGTTATAAGATGCTTATAATTGTAAGATACATTTATTTTTATTCAAGCGTTAAATAACAAAGAAATACTGTTTCTACAAATCGTATATACTTCGTCTATCATATTTGTACCACCCAATGTGTGTATGAACTGAAAACCACGTTTATTCAATGGTTTTTTGTATAGTAGTAAAATCTTGTATTTGTTCATTATGATTACGAGATAATTTTCTTTGTACAAACTCAATAACTTGATGTAGTGGCTTCGTAAAGGAAGATGATCGTGGTTCAGATTTTGGCAATGAACTATCATCTGCTGTGATGGATGAATATAATGTTGCCCCGGCTTGATTTTGGTTATGTACAGATCGTGTTCGTTTTCGAATTACATTGCTTTCATGAAACATTGCTTGGGCCATTCCTGTTGTTTTTGTGTAACTAGCACTTGTGTTCGCAATAAAAATGCTTATATTATAGTCTGTTAAATTTTATCAGTATCATCAAATAATAAACGAAAATAAAAGGAAGAGATAAGGTATTTTTTATTCAAAACTTTTTCTTGAATAGAGGAAATCTTATGAGTAACAATGAATATTCTTCTTATCAAGTGTGAAACGTTTTTCGTTCTATTTTCGACGAAAACAAAATGTAGGTAAATTATTGTAGGACAGAAGACCAGTTGATTGTTGCTCTAACTTGAAAAAGACTATCCCAAACAATTCTAAAATGAGAGATTTCAATTTCTGTAATATTTAATTGAACCAAAAAAAGTCTTACACCACTGCTAATCTATTATCGAATCTCTATATATGCATATTAAATAGTCAATATTTACTCACTTGACCGGTGCCAACAGCATGTATTGATCATTTATTTCTAGAATAATAGCATATGTTGCAGTCCTGCTGTTTCTATCAATAGTACCAATTACTACGCTTGAAACTTTTAAGTTCTTGTTTCCCAACTAAGTTTAGCAATCTATGCCTTTTTGATAGATGAATTTATCTGTTTTTTTTTATTGAAATAATAACTTTATACAAATATGATTTTCTATGAAGTACATTGAAACGAAGGTAATTCATTAGCTTTATGTAATTGAAAGAGCCATTTAATAATTCTTGCATTACGCTCGATTACTTTCACTGATGACGGCACCACTGTTCTTTTTCTATGTGTTGGACTATTTGTACTATCGAGTGTTGTTTGATCAGAAAGAGACAAAACACTAACACTTTCAAATGCACAATCGGAAGTGTTTGTTGTTGAAGATGTCGATGATTGAAATGGAAAATCTAATTGAATTCGATCTTTTTCATATTCACGATAAGGCGAACGTTGTAGTTGTCTAATAGGAGAGAAAAAGAAGAATAAACTACGTATATATATATCATTGTCTTGAAATAAAATTTACGGTGTTCGATATGTTGGTTTGATTCTTTGATTATTTGAAAGTGTTTGTCGTTTATGTAAAACTTCTTGACTTTTAACAAAATATATTTTTGATTCGTCGAGTAGTTCGGCCGCGGTACGTCGTGGGTACTGTTCTAATAGACAAAGAAAAGAACATGTCAAAATTAATTATAACGATTACATAATAAGATGACGTTGCTTCAATGAATTCTTTCTTAGTGGAAATTGTCTTTATGGCAAAGTCAATAAAAGACTATGAAGCAAGTCAGACAAGATTGTGTGACATATTAATAGACCAGTCTCATCTCTTAGAAAAGAAAGGATTGAATGATGCTTTGTTATATCATGTGGGTGTCAAATATACTGATCCGGTTTTCTTTTTCGTGTTTGTTCTTGACTATCGGATATAAGATCAATGAGACAATTGTACAACAGATGATTTAGAAATGATGACGCCGACGGAAAGATAAATATGTTTGCTTCATTAGCATTTCTTATGTAAACATCAAAAACCTAATCATGATGTACTTTGTGTTTGACACAATGAACTTGTCTCAGTTTGAAAAAGGAAAAGAAAACTTTTCTTTGTTTTTTTTTTATCTTTGAAAAGACTTACTTGAAGACGAAGCTGCAGCAGATAAACGAATGCGTTCTAACTTTGTATAGAAATCATCAAATTTTGTTTTATTATTACTGTTCATAAGTCCAGCTCGTCGTATATCGACACATCGCTGATGATGATGTTGTTGCATCGTCTTCTTTTGAAATATATGTGCTCAGTTGTTCGGCGCTTGCACTAACTATTCTCTCTTCTTCTCTCTCTCCCTCTCTCTATCTTGCTGTGTCTTGTCGATGTTTGAGTAATGTCAAGAATGATGATGAATGAACGAATAGTGAAAATGAAGACCGAGAGAAAGAAGAAGAAGAGAAAATGAGCGTAGAGAACAAGTTAGTTGTGCGTCTACCTTGAATTCTAGAAGATACCGAGAGAAAAAAAGAAAGGAAAAGAAAACCTTGGCAATAATTTTGTTCAATGTGGGCAATGTGAATCGTCTTTTTCCTATTCTTACATCATCATTCATTATTTAGTCCAAGCTGTCAGACATGTCACGGTTCGACACCCAGATATTTTTATCGAACCATCTGTTTCAAATGCTCATATGCGATTAATTATTCATCGCTTTAGTCTTCTACTCCAATATGGGACGTGTATTTGTGATCGTCGATTGATGAAATATGGAAATACCTTTTAGACATTTCTTCGTCGTCATTCTTTTCTCTTTCTATAAATTGTTCGAATAGTAAATGGAATGGTAAATCTCTTTTGTTCACAATCATTAAAGCGAATGCTAATGCTATTAAACCATTAGAAAACGTATTTTCTTTTGTTTTATTCTTCATAGGATAATGTTGTATTTTTACGTAAAAATCAATCGATTGGTCAGTATAAAAACTATGTTTTAGTCTGAATTTGACATTAAGAAGGAATAGTTATTCTTATTGAAGGAGTCGGTAGACACTATTTCATGTCAACAAATGTTTAAAAGCATTGTATTCAAACGATAAATTTTGAGTTGAAGACTTATTATTGAACAAAAACAAGTGTTCGAGCATGAATGAAAAAGAAACACAAGAATGATTGTTGAAGTTGAAAGTGAAGATGTTGTTCGTATATATATATCTCAAATTACCTCTTGACATTTTCGTGCATCATTCATCAAGATAAACTGATTGTAGCAAGTGTCTACTAAATAAAACAAATAGACTCAACGATGTATGAACAAATTCAATAAAACATTATATAGACGAACTTGACTTGTACAATTTTTGACATGAAATAGTTCACACCCACTAGAAGATGTTTGAGCTATTTCGCAATCGGAGGATCTCGGTTCCCATTAGAAGTAGTATGGTCAGAGATTCGAGTATTCATTATAATTTTTTTCTCACCACGCCATGTCTTTTTGTTATGGTACGTAGGATATCGTCCTATTTTGAAGTGTTCGTTTTTCACAGATACAATTTAATGAATAAGATGCGTGGCAAAAGAAATAGAAAAACTTGTCACACTTTTTTCGACCATATAATTGACTTCTAAAACAATCAATTATGTTTTTGTGGGAAACAGTTATACTCAAACTACGACACATAGTTTTGTCCAAACGATTTTGAGAAATAGGAAAAATGAAGATATCAAATCGACGATTTGTTTCATCATCATCAAACAATGCTACTTCTATTCAATCGTTACTTTCTTCTAGATTTTTATTTTCTCTCATAATTCGAACACAAATCGAGTATTTAAGTCACACATGATTTCTCTTCAAAGATGTATCTTTTTGCTCATTTCTTTCACAATCTGTATGACTTGGTGATTGCACACGGAAATGAGCGGTGAATTATTTCCAGTTTATCGTAGCATGCACATTATCAATCGGAACTGATCGTGAAAAAGTGTTTTAATGTGTTCCTGCAATTAATATACACAATGTTATAATTAAACTCCATGTAGTAACTTTTATCAGACAGAAGTAGTCAGAGAAATCAGATTATTTTAAATTAAAAATTCTCACTGAAATTAATATCTCACCTTTATACTGAGAAAAAAAAACAAATTTAACAGATCTGTCGAATAGATATACGTTTGTTTTTGCTGCAAAAGTAAAATATAAAGGCAGGTCACACTCCAGATGTACTTTTTAAATGGTGCGTCCGTTTTGTTCTATTTTCTTAATGTAATAAACAAAATATGAAATTAATGTTTGTTATCTTGTGCTCATGATCTTTAAAAAATTGAATAGATAAGACAAAATTTTGAAGACTTACAGTGATGAAAACAAACAACATTCGCTTACGTTAATCTCTCATTGGTAGTATTTACATTTAAATATCTTAAATCAGAAAAGAGCATTGTTTGAATTATACAATCGATCATAATATTTAATAGTGGCTCTTGCTTTTTTGTACATCTCTCACAAACTTCAAAGTGTACCCAGGTGAATGTGAGATCAATGAAATGAATCGAGAATATTTTTTTCAATGCTATGAAAATATAAAATAGATCGATGTTGGACAAGAAATAGTTAAAATATATTTCGGAACAGACATCTGATGCAAACATCCGAGATAAAATAGTCCGAGCTTGTATACCATGTTAACTCAACAAGAGGAAATGCTGACGTTTTCCTATTAAACAAAATATAATTTCCTGATGTAAAAACTTTCGCAGTTGCAAAACAGACACTTTTCTTTTTCTTTGTCAATTTACACGTATTCATAATATCCAACTGAATCGTTGGTTCATAGATTTACGAACTTTAATTTTGCTCTTCTCAAAAGTGCAAAGCATGAGCGCCCAACTATTTGCATCCTATAGTTATTCTAAGCATGATCAGTAATAGCAACAATATTTTCCCACTAATATATAATTACATGTTTCAATTGGTTCATCACAAAAGAAAGTATGCTTTAACAAATAGGATTTGTCTTCAACAATGTAGCTCGTTTTACTTCGATACTCTTTTATAAAAAAAATGATACTACTTCAATTCCTTGCATGCACGCATGCATAACTTAAGAAAAACACTTGACAATAATATTTGCACAAGAATATTGACTTCTCGAATTATTTTTATTTTTGTTTCTTTGAAATATGACGTTAACTTAAGTTTGTCATACATGATACCAGTTCTTAGAAAATTAAAATCGAAGAAAACGACTAAAAACAGTTACTTTTTCTTTTCTTTTTTGGTTTATTTCGTTTCCTGAATCACTAGTAAGAGAAAATAAAACTGTTGATGTTATACTCTCGTCATAATGAAAAATGAGAATCTCGTGATGAGACTTAACAATGTGTTGAGAAGAAAAACGAGACAGCGATAAAACAAAAGCAAAACAAAAAAAGAGATATTCTAGACATGATAAAACTATATTCGTAGATGATTGTTTGACAAAGACGAATGGCATCAGTAAGATTAGATCAATTTCTTGAGCCATTGTCCAGTAGTGGTAATGATTCGCGCATTATTCTGAATGTTGGCGGTACAAGATTTGAAACTCAGAGAACAACATTAAAAAAATTACCGGCTACACGTCTATCAAAATTAACTGCGCAATTATCACATTATGATCCGATATTAAATGAATACTTTTTTGATCGACATCCCGGTGTCTTTTCGCAAATACTCAATTATTATCGAACTGGTCGACTGCATTATCCAACCAATGTTTGTGGACCTTTATTTGAGGATGAACTTAATTATTGGGGTATACAACGTGAAGAAGTTGAACCGTGTCGCTGGTGAATATTATAGATGCATAAGTTTTCTTTTTGCCCGACTTTTATTATTATTTTCAGGATGACTTATACGACACATCGATCAATACAAGAAACATTACAAGTATTAGATTCATTAGATTTAGATACAGTTCGATCAACACATGAGGATACTATTAAAAAATATGACTGGGAAAATGATCCGTGTGTAATTAGTACCGATCAATTACCTGTACGCAAACGTTTAATAAGTATTATATGGCAATTATTTGAAGAACCACGATCATCAATAATGGCTAAAGTAAATAAGATTAGTGGCTTTTTTTTGTCTGTTATTGATTGAATCGATGTGCTTCGAATAGCACGATTCCTCCGCTATATTATTATACGAGCGCCAGTCATATATGAATAGCAACAGTGATTCGAATGAATTAATTTTCTCACCCATATAGCATTAACTAAAAGAAGTATTGAAGAAAAACTTTCGAAATAAATAGAATAAAATAATCACTCTATATTAAGAAACAGTAGCTAGATCGTGTTTTACAATTTGATTGTGCGAGAGTTGTACCGACAGGTTTTGTTTTATTTAGGAAAGCACACCTATCCTTCCTCTTTCCTGACCAAAAATTGATAGATATTTCTTTTTCGAAGTTTTGTGATGTCCTATAAATAGTAGCTGAAGTTGCATAGAACAATCTAATTTACTTAGTACTAGACCATTTAAATCTACTTTCAGAAAGTAAGCTGATGGATGTTTCAAAACTTTTTCAAAACGTAGGTAGAAAATATATAATGAAGAAATTTAACAGCAATACATAATCATTCTTTTAAATTCGACAATGTGATAGCAGCTGCGTCATACAAAAGGCTTCGCTAAATATATATATGTATATATTTGCAGTATGCCCAGAAAAGCATCAATCCAAGATCGTCTCTAATGAATGTTAACAGTATAGTGCTGAAAAGACCATTATAATAGAAAGTAGAAAATGTTGTATTGATTTTTGCGAGCAAATATTTATATGAATCGATCGATATATCAATAAGAAGAACTCTGATTCGTTTTCATCTTCGAAATGCAATATAACGATGCTTTTACATAAACTTTTCAAGTATCCTCTCTTTCTTATGGCACGCAAGAAAATGTTGTCGATTTCAATATCGTCCTCTATAGAATGTATCCACAACTATAGACTTCGCCATAATTTTTATGCATACAGAAGCATGATACTATCTAAATCTTCTAAATTTAGTTTCTTATCCAACACCGAAATTTCATTCAACTGAAGTAGTTTTCATGTATAAGATAAAAAATTCAAAGAATTCTTTTATGAACTTAAAGTAAAATATTGAAACTCTACAAGATGTTTATGCATCATTCGAGTATTAAACTATTTCGATTAGTATATTGATTAGAACAAAAAGAAGCAATAGAAAAACAAAACTACCTATGTATGGGATCTGCTTTCTTTTTTTTGATATTATATCATGAAACCTATGAATTTCACGTTGACATTCAAAGCAAACCGATTAACATCATTGACAATGAATTTCAACTATTATTTAAATGTTCATTATTTCATTCTAATTGTTTCTAAATTTATAGATGATTGCAGTGATTTCCATATTTTTTATAATTCTTTCAATTGCTTTATTTGTTCTTCGTACATTACCAGCATTTGAAATAGCAAAATATGATGTTATAACTGTCTACACAAACAATAATTTAACTGAAAGAATAATTGTACATAATTCACAACAACATGAAATTATTTCTGGTTTTGATAATCTTGAATGGATTTGTACGAATTCGATAAATATTTTAACAGAGTGGCCTTTTCATATCTAGACAGATGTATCGATTACAATAGTTGCGACTAAAATCTTTTCAAAGTCAGTGATGTCATAATATCTTTACACCTGGTTATGACCTTTTAGCACAAACACGTTAGAGTATCCACATTAGGTGCACCCACGTTTGGGTATACACATTTATATATAGGTGAATACCCAAAAGTGGATACGCTCAATGTGGTTACATCAGATTGTAGATGCACTAAGAATGGATACTCCATAAATTATTGCTGCATAGGGTATTATGACATAAAACTCTCGATACCCATTGTAAAGGTATTAAGACATCTATGTTCAAAGTCATTTATTATTCCAGCAAAGAAAAACCCAATTACGATTGGCCAAAGCAGACAGGAGATATTGAATGTTTTTATCGAATTGGCGGAAAAGGCAGAAAAGAAAACGTCGAAATGGAAAAGTATAACTAGTAAAAGTGTCGAAGAAAAACTACCAGAGTAAAACGTAGAATGAAAAACATGTCCAAAGATAACGAAATGTTTTTTTAGTTGGTATTGGTTGTTAGTGAGATAAGTTAAATTATTTGTCCTCCTCATTTATAGTCTACACTTGTTCGTTGTTAGCGTATAGGATAGTATATATAAATCAGTCCCCAGGAGAATCATTCCGAAAGTAGGATCCTATCGAATTCCGACAAGGGTCAGACAGTGAATATGCCGAATACCATATGTGTTTCAATAAAACCGACGAAATATTATGGGATTTCTGGACACGGACCTACAGTCGGATCCGATGTTGGATTTTAACGGAATCCAACTATAACGAATCACCCTTGCGCTCTGATGGCTCAAAATGCTTATTTAATCGTGAAGAAAAAAATGATTTTTTTCCGTCGAAACGGACAATAGGTCCGTGTCCATGAATCCTGTCGGAGAGTCGAATCCCATAGGATTCGATAAGATCCGTTGTCGGATTTATTCACTTGGGTCTGGCGAAAACAACTAATAAATAAGTATCTCTTCAATCGTTGGCAATTGGCAGCGAAATATCATGCTTAACGAGTAATAAAGGTAAGCCATTACTAGTGCTTAACTTTAACCAATATATGTTCAAATGCAATAAAACGTCCTCATCAAAAAAGTATTGGACTTGCACTGAACATGGATGCGATGTATATGTGCACACCAATTTAGGAAATAAAATTTTCTTTTTCTTTAAAATTATCAGAAAACTCAATTTTCGACATTTCCCTTCTCGGCGTTTTCATTTTTCTATTTTTTTCATTCGACGTTTACAATTTCTGTATTTTTCCCTTCTATGTTTGCCTTTTCGACCTTTTCCCTTTCTGCCTTTTCCACCAAACCCGTTTTTATTATCTTGTTCATTATATGCAAAGGCCACTCTGCTTACGTCAGTTTATTTAATTGTTATTGATTTTCTAGGTAATTCTTGGTTTGTATTTGAAATTACATTAAGATTTTTAGTTGCACCATCAAAACGAGCCTTTTGCACATCAATAGTTAATTGGATCGGTAAAAATAAAGAAAATTTTTCGTGGTCAACTATTTATTTTCTTATATTTAGATTTTCTCGGCACGTTTTTTTTTTTTTTTACTTATATGATAGATGATTTTTTTCGATTTGATGGTTACAATGCTGCATTAGATTTTTTATCAACAATACGTGTAGCACGTATGTTTAAATTATGTAATCTTCATCTCGGTTTAAAAGTTATTGTTACATCAATGCCTTATTCATCTAGTGTACTAAGTTTATTAATATTTTTCTTTTTTCTTGCTATAACGATAGCCGGCTCGATAATGTATTATGTTGAACGTTTAAGTCATTCACCAGATAATCAAATAATGTCGATCGTTGAAGGTATATGGCTTACAATAAGCACAATAAGTACACTTGTTTTTGGTGATATAGTACCAAAACCATTGCCGGGAATGATATTTGGCGCCATAATAACAATAGTTGGTGTATTAGTAATTGATTTACCAATGCCAATTATTGTTGAAACATTTGATAATTTTAATTCACATTTACAAGCTACACAACAGCTGCGTAAATTAAGACGACGAATAACACCAGCCGCTATACCAAGAAAAGTAATACCATTGATGCCAACGAGTGAGCATGAATTTGGATATCAACATCGCTCTTTGATTATGAGATAAATATTTTTCTTGCAATAGAAAAAATTTATTAAACATCTATTATACAATGAATGAAACTATCTGATTTTTATCAGACCAGTGGTTGACTTCTCGTGTTGTTTATTCTTCACCATAGTCATGTTATAATTATCGATGTAACTATAAACAGATGTATATTAATAAAAAAACAATATAAATTACATCTTGATTTTCATGCATAGATCCTTACGATAAGGTGGTGAAAAACTAAAAGTAAAAATTAGTCATTGTAAAACTATATCAGATGAATTTTAGATGAAAATAGAATTTCAAGGATTTTGTAAGATTTCTACGGTAGGTATTTATTTAATCTGATTTTTGAAATTTCAATTGAACTTGGAAAATGTTTGGATTTTTTTGCTTAACGATACTGACAAGAGCCTGTGTTATCACCAACATCTTCACGAACTATTTTCACTAAACAACAATCAATGTGAAAATAGATTGAAAAAGGATTACTCTCGGTTCGGTCCCAATGGGTCCTTTCTCATATCGGTCCCAATGGGCCCTTTCTCATATCGGTCCCAATGGGTCCTTTCTCATATCGGTCCCAATGGGTCCTTTCTCATATCGGTCCCTTGCAAACATGTCTTATTTGGGTCCTATAACAATCAGGATATAAATAATGATGTCTCACTTAGGTCCCCACTTAATAGTTAATATAGAAATATAATTTTATTGGATATATTTGAATAGTCATCATGTATACAATGAATAAGACTAATATCAGAGAGAGAAATAATACATAAAAAATAAAGATACTACTTTAGACACGAAGAAAAGAATTTTCTATTTTATTGGCTTTGTTTTTACTGTTTTTCCACATAAAATTGCCAACTCTAAATCCGTAATTTCACCTATATTATGATGATAAGGAGAGTAAGAAGTTGAGCATTAATATCTTCCGTTATTTGTTTTTTCTAGTGAAAATATCACGTGCAAAAGAGAGGCACCGAAATAAGAGTGGGATCAAAGTGAGAAGGACCCAAATAAGACATGTTTGCAAGGGACCGATATGAGAAAGGACTGAATCGAGATGCCCCCATTGAAAAAAGACTGTTTTCCTTTATGAGTGTGTTATTTTATCAAATTATACAAACTGGCTTCCTCGAACCTGTTTGTACAGATTAACTCATCATGCACATGTTGCAATAAGTATAGGATCAGTGATATTAGACAATTTTCTTCATAATCCATCAGTCTATTTAAGCGATAGCAGTCGGGCATTGTCTGGTGATTTGATGAAAAAAAACGACGTAATGACACTATTTGCTTTATTTAGATTTTATTTAGGTTAACGAGTTATTACCTATTTTCATATAGCTATTAATCTATAAATAAAAGCGTTCTTCTACTAAGCGAACGATAAATGCTTTCATATAGCTATTAATCTATAAAAAAAAGCGTTCTTCTACTAAGCGAACGATAAATGCTTTCATATAGCTATTAATCTATAAATAAAAGCGTGCTTCTACTAAGCGAACGATAAATGCTTTCATATAGTTTGGTTTTCTTTTACTTCTCGTTTCATTTGTTTTCAATGGCGTATACAGGATTTTTAGCGTTATGGGCAAACTTGTGTTGTGTATAAAAAAAGATATGGGCAATTTGGGCAATATTTTTATTGATAGGCAAAACTATTTCAGTCTCAAAAATATC